GGAAAAATGCTCAGCCTCTCTCCCAGCCCACCGTCCCTCAGCCAACAGTCTCTCACAGTCTCTTTCCCAGCAGTGCTGGTCCCTCGGTGTCTCACTCAGCAATGCGTGTCTCTTAAGTCTCTTTCCCAGCAGCACATGTCTCTTTTGGCAGCACGTCTTCCTCAACCAGCAGTCAAAGAGAGTTCTGCCTCTAGGAGGCCTCCTTGAGCTTGGCAGAGTGGCCAAACTAGCCAATCATAGCATCAGAATTCTAAGCACCTGATAGGGAGCCTCCCATAACATTGCGTTGTGCCGTGCCCAACAGAAATAACCCAGGTGAATAACGTTTACAATCAGGAGCTCCTCAGTTGCTCATTCCACCACTGAGTTTACAATGACTTATGGGTAGAAAAGCCATACTAAGTAATTTACTACACTGCAACGTTGCTTAAACATAGCCTGGCAAAGATGGACTTTGACCTTCTTGCTAACAGATAAACTATGACAATTGTGTTGAAGGAAGAAGAGAATATGTAAGAAAATTCCACAAATGCAGATTCTCAAATGAAAATTGTTCTGTAAAAATCCCTGTTTTACTTTTGTTTCTTGTGTACATATGGAAGGCAATCCAAGTTTTGAAATGAAAAGTAGCCAGTTGATTGACATGGCTAATACCATTATTGCAGGCTAGCTGTGCTCTATCAGGGTTCTGCTTTATGTATGTATGTATGTATGTATGTATGTATTTATTTTCAGTGTTCCCGCTCCTTCCTTCCCACCCCTGGTGTTAACCAACAAAGAAAGTTTCCTTCCATATAGAAACCTTTCCTTCACTTTTTACAGTAATGACCTAATACTGTATTTGTTCTTCTGTGGTTGACTTATTTCACTCAGCATAATGTCCTCCAAGTTCATCCGTGTTATGCAGTGTTTCTTTTGATTGTTTTTAATAATTTTTAAATTCTGGTTATAACCAGACAGTGGCCTATTATGTTTTTAGACGCTTACTTTATAACATTTTCATGTTAGGAAATTAAGTTCACAGATTTTGTAAGTTCTTATGGCTAGTAACTGTCAGCTTCCAGTGTACTCTTTAGGGTGATGGTATGAAACCCTTGGAAATTATCTAATGGCAAAAGTTTTTCACCTCATTTTCATAATGTGCATTTTATTTTTAGTGCTGAGATTTAGTTTATAATAAGTTTTTAGCAGTCCTCTTTTAGACCTTAACTAATTAAGAAGAAAAACTAATACCTAATGTTATCTTGGTGGTCACAGACTCTTTCTATACCATCCCTCCCCTTACCCACGTCAGTGTGTGGAGGACATTAGGAAAAGGGAGGACACCGAATTATGTGCATAAGATATAGACAACAGACACTAAGGCCAACCAGTGTGCCCACAATACTGCACTACCATTAACACCAAACACCAGGCTGCAGATAAACACATAAACATCTGAGAAGATCAGATGGGCGTCAGTGAATAGGAGTATACTCTAGACCAAGGATAGATTCAGTGGAGGTAATCTTGCACAGATACCAGTGATAAAAAATACCTGCAATCCTTACAGAAACAACAGAAGACAGACATAGATTAATCCCTCACAGACGGCAGAGACTGTGGGAAAGAGATCCAATGGATCTACCGACTCAGGACCATAGTACTGGGGGACATCAGACTCACGTGGCACAACAAAATGTATAAAAGTCTTGTTCCTCATTCTGCATTGGTGAGTAGGGACCGGGGTCTTAAAAGCTTTCAAGTGGCCATCTAAGATGCAGCTATTGGTCTTCTATCATCGGAAGTGAAGAAGAGGGAAAAAGAACAAGGGCATTTGGAAGCAATCAGCCCTAAGACATGATGGCCCTCGAGACCAGAAGAACCAGGTGGTGCCCGGCTACCAATGCCAACCACTCAGGAAAGGGTCAATCCGGAGATCCTGGGTAGAGTGGGAGGAAAAACGTGGAACAAAATCCAAAAACTCAATAATGACCAGAATTACTGGTCAGATGGAGTCTGATAAGACCCCCAATGCTCTGGCCCTGGGATACATTCTGGGCCTGGATAAAACTCACTCCCAGGGCTTGGCTCTTAGCCCAATAGTAAACAAGATGTACACGCAGACCACTCAGCCCATGGTGATACACCTACACACTCTGTGGAATGCATCCCTTGGAGCAATGGACCATGAGGCACCAGAGGGACAAAATGCCAACAAGGAAATGCAGGACACACAGGAGGCATAACAATGAGGGACACGTAGTTACTGCACAGGGAGGGGGAGGAGACTGGGTTGGGGTTGGGGATGGTAATAGGGGAGTGAAACTAAATGTACATGAAATGTGGAATGTAAAACAAACTCTGCTCTGTAAACTTTCACCTAAAGCACAATTTAAAAAAAAAGGAAAAACAAACTAATACCTTACCTATTATGGTATCTGTTTTTTAAGAAAATAGTCTTACTCTTTGCATGTGTTATTAGTTGTTGTTGTTATGTGCCATTGAGTCAGCCCCAACTCATAGCGGCCCCTCCTTGGGTTTCCGAGGCAGTATCACTACGGAAGTAGGATTGCCTAACCTTCCTTCCGAGGAGTGGCTGGTGTTATTAGTAGTAGTATTGATATTAGTCTATTTGGTGAATATTATGTTTCTACTGTCACAATGTAGAACTTGAAAGCCAGGCATATTAGAATAATTTTACATTAAAAAACTCCTGTCAGTTATTCCCAACCCTAAGTATATGTTAAACCAAATGTCTTTGTCTCAAAATGTATAAATTATCTAAATAAGTTTTTTTTTAATTTCCCTTCATGCATTTTCACAAGTTGATGTATTTGAGAATTACTCACTTTTCTCAAGTACCAAGTTCTGTATTTGCGCTGAAATCTAGCAGATTTGCAGGTCTGTGCAGGATCTGGGGGAAGTTGTTCTGGTAACGAAAATGTCTGTCTTTCTTGCTTTAGCTCGTCTTTCTTACTTTTCATTGGTATCTTTTTTGCTGTTTTGTGAGTTTATAGTGATAAATTACTGTGTTGCCACGTTTCATAAATCATTGACTAAATTTGATGGGAAAATGCCATAGTTAGGGAATATTTGGTCTGTTCTGATTTTGTATTATTGCTCTGGGGAGCTGAACTTAATGCATTTAACTTCCAGAGTATGAAATATCTATGCTGAACCAGATGTCCTGGCTCATGAAGACTGCCTCAATAGAGCTCAGGGTGACTTCTCTGAATCGTCAGCGGTCACATACCCAGAGGCTCCTGCACTTGTTGCTGGATGACATGCCAGTGAAGCCATACTCAGGTGATCACGGGACTCTTGGCTTCTGCTTTATTGGGCAGCTGGCTGGCCCATGTGAGTGCAAGGACAGATCCACGTCTTGTACTTAGTACGTGATTATAGGCCAGAGCAGTTCTTTCTGCCTTCAGAAGTTTTTCCCTTAAAAGTACTAAAATACGTCATCTCCTGATTGTTCTTGTTTTGAGCATGCACATTATATTACAGTCATATGCACGAGATGTTCCAGGGCGTTTGTCACACTGAGCCAGCATGACCCAAGCTATGTCAATATGAATCATGCTGATTAAGCCCCAGCTTTCTCAGTGATCTCACTGTGACTGGGCCTTGCTTCTTTCTGAGTTCTGATTACAGTTCTGAATGGATGCCACATTCAGAAAGATGCGGGTGGATGTTGGCAGGAGTCCTCATCGATCTTTGCATTCCTGTTATCCATCTGCAGAGGACTCTGACCTAGAGACACCAACATAGAAATGAAGTGTCTAATGGTTATTATTTCCAAATCAACATTATTCTTAAAAGAATATGTTGTTATTTTTCCTGTTTTTTTTTTTTTTAATTGTGATTTGGGTGAAAGTTTACAGAGCAAATTGGTTTTCTCTTCCGCAATTCATATACATTTTGGTGTCTGGCATTCATTGCAGCCCCTCATCTTTTACTTTTCATGCTCTGACAGATGGTGAAGGAGGAATAGAGGATGAAAACAGGTCTATCTCTGGGTTCCTTCACTTTGACGCTGCTACGAAAGGTGAAGCCCTTGACATTGGTAACCCCTTTATTTTATAGATGTCAAGTTACCTTTAAAACTTGAAGGTAATTACTGGGCCTAGGTCTCCATGTCCTGCTCGTGTAGAACAGCTATGTGAAAGATTGTCATTCCTGTCCCACCCTCGTTTTTATTTTATTTTTTTAACAAGGATAATAGGATAGGAAAAAAATTTGCACATTGGTGTATTAGAGATGAAATCGGATTTAAAGTTGGGCACAGTCTTCCCTTCCTGGATGACTGCCCTGCTTTAACGTAACACTGTCACAGAGCGTGAGCCTGGGTGTAAGAGTTTGCTCTTTTCTTCAGTGCCCTAAGTAAAATTGGCTTGTCGATTATTTTCTAGTCCGTCGAAAAATTCTCAGTATTTTGGACTCAGTTGACTTCAGTCAGGAGATCCCTGAGCCTCTGCAGCTGGATTTCTTTGATCGGGCCCAGGTGGAACAAGTTATTGCGAATTGTGAACACAAGAATTTACGGGGACAGACAGTCTGCAATGTGAAGGTGAGGGTCTGGTTCAGACTTTGAGTCACCAGAAGGCACACAGCCACACAGTTATTATCCCAGATAGAGACACCGATTACTGCCTTAGTCGACTGTGACCAGAAGGCACACAGCCACACAGTTGTTATTCTAGATAGAGATACCGATTATTGCCTTGGTCAACTGTGGCTTTCATTTTCTAACAGCTGGGAAAAAATTTAATAGATTAGCTTTAGTTCATTGCAAGGTTTCTGTTACCACTTCTTAGTGGTAATCCTACCCACCTAGAACTTTGGAGGGATGGTAACTGATTATCTGCCTGGTAAATAAGGAGCTCTGGTGGTGTAGTAAGGAATTCTGGTGGTGTAGAGGGTAAGGCGTTGGTGGTTTGAACCCCCCAGCTGCTTCGCAGAAAGAAGACGAGACAGTCTGCTTCCATAAAGATTTACAGCCTTAGAAACCCATTGGGGGTTGCTGTGAGCTGGAATTGACTTGATAGCAGTGTGTTTGTTTTAGTTTTTGGATTGGTGGCATAGTAGTTAAAGCATTCGGCTGCAAACTGAAGGTTGGCAGTTCAAACCCACCATTTGCTCCACAAGAGAAAGATGAGGCAATCTGCTTCTGTTGAGATTTACAGCCTTGGAAACCCTGTGGGGCAGTTGTACTCTGTCCTCATAGAATTGTTATGGATGGGAGTTGACTCGATGATGGCAGTAGGTGGGTTTACCTGGTAAATGGAGTGTCCTCAAGAGTAGGAAGAAGATCCACAGAGTACTTGCATTAACTTGCCTGCCACAGAGGCCTGGGCATAAGGGTACTTCCCGTTTTTGACTGTACACTGGACTGCCAGTCTTAGATTGGCTATAAGAGTATGTGTAACTTTTCCCTCTGGGGCATTTTAACACCATTGCTGGGTGGTGCTGCTCTACCTGTGCCTGAGCCTGAAATGGGCTGTTTTTCTCTTTTTCCAACTATATAGCTGCTCCACAGAGTTCTTGTAGCCGAGGTCAATGCCCTTCAGGGAATGGCAGCCATAGGACAGAGGCCTCTGCTGATGGAGGTAAGCCCTGCCGAGCATGTGCTAGCCTGACCCATAACTACTGGGACTACTGCAGGTGCTGCTGGAGGACAAGCAGTACATTGACTTGTTCATAAATCAGTGAGGTCCTTAAAAAGGAAGATGTAATGGGATCTTTCACTCTCGACTGTGTAGTTTTTAGAAACTGAACTGAAGTTAATACCTGGTATGCCAAAAGAAACCACATCTCTTTGGCCAGTCTGGGTCAGGATTTGTGTATTAGGTGTCAAGTACACCCTCTCAGAGAGGGAGGAGAGAACCACTTGTCATATCATCCCAAGTGAGGAGTTACAGGTCATGCATGTGGCTGGGCCAGAGCAGGAGGCAGAGAAATAAAAGACAAGTCAGGAAACTGCCATTGAACTTGGGTTTTGGACTATTCCAGTGCTCCTGGATAAGTATAAGCAGGCAGTTGTAAGGAGCAAGAAGATGAGATTAAAAAGCTCATCTCCACCCACACTCCCCCTCCCCTCCTGCCTTCAGCACATGCATGCGTGCACACACACACACGTACAGACGTACATGCATCCTTACAAACATTTTTTCATAGTACTGGCCCGCTATATGAGGAGCCCTGGTAGCATATTGGTTAAGTGCTTGGCTGTTAACTAAAACTTGGGCGGTTCTAGCCCAGCAGCTGTTCCCCAGGACAAAGTTGTGGCAGTCTGCTTTGTAAAGATTTGCAGCCTTGGAATCCCTATGGGGCACTTCTACTGTGTCCTACAGGGTCACTATGAGTTGGAATTGACTCAACAGCAGTGGATTGGCCGTTGATATAATATGAAAAGTTATTTGTTGTCCAATGTGCATGTGGTAGGTTTCCAAAGTCTCCTATGGATGTTGTCTGAGTTTTAACTATTGGAACTTGTTGATAACGGTGAGACGTTATTTGCTGGCTCGTTCACCTTGTGGTATCTGTTTCCGCGGCTTTAGGAGATCAGCACCATCCTCCAGTATGTGGTGGAAAGGAACAAACTCCTGCAGTGTCTTCACGCAAAGCGGCATGCGCTAGAGTCGTGGCGGCAGCTGGTGGAGATTATCCTGACGGCCTGTCCCCAGGACCTCATTCAGACAGAGGACCGGCAACTGATCATCCGTGACATCTTACAAGACGTGCATGATAAGGTGATGGGCTGGCTGCATTGTGTCATACTGCTGAGCAGACGTCCCTATAGCATATACGCATTAGGGTCATGGGGGGCCCGTGTAAAGACTTTGTCTTGAGAAGAACTGGGTGGTGCCTGGCCGACATTACCAACCATTTTGATCAGGGCTGCCTGATGGACGCTGATGGAACAGGAGACAAACAGAGCAGAACTCACATTCTTTTTTTTTTCAAACTTCTTTTTTTTTTTTTATTAGGATTTGGGTGAAGATTTACAGAGTAAATTCACTTTTCATACAGCAGTTCACATATACTTTGTCTCATGTCATTGACCAAAATTTACAATGCAGCAGCTCCCCTCCCACTTCCTCCCCATAGTTACCTCCTCCCAGTGTCCATCCCTTCATACTCTTCGAGAGGCCCATTTTCTGCCAACCCTGTATATGATCTTGGATACACTCTCCATTTAGACATACATAATTGTTTAGCTTGTTCACCCATCTATCCGTCCCTATACCCATATTTGCTTTCATTAACAACTCAGTATTGTATTTACAAAGGGGTTCATATTTGTTGTTTGTACTGCCCATGTAACTCTCTCTGTCTTTCTCATCCTCAATGCTGCCATATTGGTCACTCACATTTGGTACATTGCCCTTCTCTTCACCCAAATCAATATTTATCTCTATCTATCTAACAGCATTCCCTCCCCTTCCCTCCCACCCCTGGTAACCAACAAAGAAAATGTCCTCCAATATATAAACATTTCCTTAACTTTTACAATAACGGACTAATACAATATTTGTCCTTTTGTGACTGACTTATTTCGCTCAGCATAATGTCCTCCAAGTTCATCCACGTTATGCGGTGTTCTGCAGATTCTACATTATTCTTTAGCGTTGCATAGTATTCCATTGTGTGAATGTACCAAAGTTTGGTTATCCATTCCTCAGTTGTTGGACATCTAGGTTGTTTCCAAGTTTTGGCTATTGTAAATAGTGCTGCGATGAACATCGGCGTGCATATATCTGTTCTTGTTATGGCTCTCACTTCTTTAGGGTATATACCTAGTAATGGGATGGCTGGGTCAAATGGTATTTGTATCTCCAACTTTTGAAGGAATCGCCATACTGCTTTCCACAATGGTTGTACCATTTTACAGTCCCACCAGCAGTGTATGAGAGTCCCAATCTCTCCACAACCTCGCCAGCATTTGTTATTTTCTGTCTTGTTGAACTTTGCTACTAGTGCTGGAGCAAGATGGTATCTCATTGTTGTTTTGATTTGCATCTCTCTAATAGCTAATGATCGTGAGCATTTCTTCATATGTTTGTTGGCCGCTTGAATATCCTCCTTGGTGAAGTGTCTGTTCATGTCTTCTGCCCATTTTTTAATTGGATTGTTTGTCTTTTTGTTATTGAGGTGTTGGAGTAGAACTCACATTCTTAACAAGCCCAGCTTCACTGGGGCAGCTGAGACAGGAAGACTTTCTGAAAGAGTTGCCTTGAGATTGTCTTTAAACCTTGAACTGAAACTATCCCCTGAGGTCACCTGTGAGTGCGGTGCTCCATTAAACAACCGGCATGAGACCAAAGGTCAACAGTGACTCTGTAGCAAAGATGAGAAGATAGGGGGCAGGGAAACGAGCGCTAGGACTGGGACAAGCAGAGCACAGGCAAAGGATGGTGACACGCAAAAAATGTGACTCATGTCACTGAGCAAGTCGTGGAGGAACTGTCGAAAGTGAACCTCATTTGCTGTGTAAATCATCACTGAAAACACAAATTATTATTATTACTTTATTTTTTTTCAAAAGACCTTTCTTGAGAAAGGATGAATGCACAGTAATCCCTGCCAACCATAGCATTTGTCAGAAGAACTAGGCAGATTTTTAGAAGTACATGTGGACATCCATCCTGCACCCTGCTGCGTGGGCATCTCTAGCAGTCGGCCGTCTCAACGACCTCAAAGAAGCCTCCCTAGGAATTCGGATCGTAGTCCTTCTGGTTGGGAACCCCTGTTACCCAGCATCATATTTAGATTTCTCTACATGTATAAGCTTTTCCCTTTGAACAGTACAGTCCTGTTTTCATTCTTACAGAAGTTGAAAGCTAAATGCATGTGAAGCTTGCTAACGATTGTAGCTGAAAGCAGAGTCCTAACCCTCGTTTTCTGTTCTGCTCTAAGATACTGGATGACGAAGCAGCCCAGGAGTTAATGCCTGTAGTGGCAGGCGTCGTGTTCACCCTGACTGCCCACCTCAGCCAGGCTGTCCGCACAGAACAGAAGCAGCCGCTGGTCTTAGGGTCCCGTGAGGTCCACTCGGTGTTTCTGCTTGATGCATCTCTCGCCTCGCCGCCTCCTGTGGAGAGCCCCGTGGTGGGCTTTGCTTCCATTGGAGATTCCTCACTTCACATCATACTGAAGAAGCTGTTAGACTTCATTTTGAAGACAGGTTCTTTCACCTGCATTCTCTAAATCACAATTTCTCTGTTGGTTTTAACTCTGATTAGAAAGGGTTTCCCTACTTTCCTTCCCTAGGTGGTGGATTCCAGCGTGTGAGGACTCACCTGTATGGCTCTCTGCTCTATTACTTACAGGTTGCCCAGAGACCGGATGAACCAGATACCTTAGAAACAGGTAGGGTGGGCATGGTTTCCGGTCGACTCTGGTTTTAGAGGTTGATTACTTCGAATCAAACAGTCATTGCTCCCTATTTTTGCTAATGGCAACTGTGGTGAATAAAGAAGTAAGTGCTATAGATGACCATGAAAGCATTTAAAGTCTCAGAAAAATGTTTAATATTTTAAAGGAGCCCTGGTGGTACAGTGGTTAAGCGCTCAGCTGCTAACAGAAAGGTCAGCAGTTTGAACCCACCAGCCGCTGTGCAGGAGAAAGATGGGGCAGTCTGCTTCCACAAAGATTACCGCTTTAAATCTGGGGGAATGGTGCATGAGTACTACAAACCAACCAACCACAAAAACCCCTCCAGTAATCCCTTTGCTTTCTATACTTCCGTGACCCCTGCTTTGCCTCCAGTTCCCCATCTCTCTTCCCTTTGCTGCACATCACAGGGCCACGTTTAGTTGATTCTGCTAATGGCTTTGGCATTCCATAGTGTGGATGTAGCAGTTACTGAAACATTCTCCTCTTTGATAGGCATGTAAATTGTTCCCCATTTTGCACTAGCACAAGCAAAGCTGTATCAAACTCTTTTATATGCCTATGAGTATTTCTCAAGAAGGATGCTTCATGGCAGAATTTCCACAAGAAGGAGTTGTACATTTTCATTTTAATAAAATAAACAACCAAACCCACTGCATCCAGTCTATTCCAACTCACAGCGACCTCTATTGGGTTTCCAAGGCAGTAAATCTTTTCAGAAGTAGATTGCCTCATCTTCCTCCCACACAGCAGCTGGTAGGTTTGAACCGTTGACCTGGTTAGCAGCCAGATACCTTACCCAGTACGCCACCAGAGCTCCTTTTTCATTTTAATAGATTCTACCAAATAGCCTTTTGAAAAGGCTTTACCACTTCAGACTCACGTCACTGGTGTACAAAATCTTTTTGCACTAATGTAAGATAGTCTATGGATGAGTTCCAGATTTCTTGGTCAAAAGATACATATTTAAAATCTTGAGAAACGCTATTCCCTAAACTATAGTTAGCATTTTTTCATTGTGAATGAGGGGTAATGACTCAGTTAGTAAACCTCTTTTTCATTGGGGTGTTTTACTTTTTTCTCTTTTAAACTCTTTTAGCCAAGAAAAGCATGTGGGAGAGGCTGACAGCCCCTGAAGATGTGTTTAGTAAGTTACAGCGAGAAAATATCGGCATCATCGAGAGCTACGGTGCCGCACTCATGGAGGTGGTGTGTCGGGACGCCTGCGACGGCCATGAGATTGGCAGGGTAAAGGCTGGGGAGGAGTGTGGACTTGGCTTCCTGCGGTGTAGGCCGAGTCAGCTTTGGGTCGTGGATGCTGTGTGCTGAGGACTATTTTCCGCGTTGTGTTATGGGAAGTCTTCTATGATGTGGCACTGGTGTTTTAATTCTGTGCAGAATGTTCACTAGTTCAGAGCTTGCCCGCAGAGTTTTATTTATGCTCACTTTGGGGTAAACCTTAGACTGATGGAAAAGAGCAGGGGTGCTGCTTGCTAGCGCTCCGCTGAAGAGAACGCCAGGCTGGAGGTAGCCGTGGTGCTGACCCCACTGTCTCTGCCCAAATGCTTTCTGACAACAGTTTCCATTTTTGTTTCTTTAAAATACGGTCATGGGCTGGTGTGTACTCACTTATATCTTGTTTCTGAAAATCTTTTAGTGAAATGAGATTTTAAAAAACGGTAAAAAATAAACTATATAACAAACACTCAATTATATTAAAAAAGAAAAAGTATTTTTTATGTAGAAAAAAGACCAGAAGGAGAGAGACCAAAATGGATTAACTGTTCATCAGATTATTTTTTTAAACATATTTTTCTATGATTCCTAGGTTTTAGGTAAAGGGCTTGTAAAGCTTGGCAGTTAGGAAAAAATAATCTATTTTTAAAAATTCCTCTTTTTTTTTACAGCAAATAATGTCTAGATTCTGTTCAAACATTGAATGCCCTGTTGTAATGCGCTAGGGTCGTGCTTCAGAAGTGTCACTTTACCTGGAAGTTTTACTTTTGTTAATAAGTCGAGATTCTGGAAGCATAGTTTTTCAGAAAAAAAAAGTGAGGCAGTTTGACTGTAAGCGACAGTTTCCCTTCTCCTTAGACAAATTGAGAATGTTTCCAGGTAAACGCAGTTGCCGTGGTTGATCTGAGTCCTTGTCCCCATGAACTTGGGGGCGCGGTGTCCTCTGCCTTCAGATGCTGGCCTTGGCGCTCCTGGACCGGATTGTCTCTGTGGATAAGCAGCAGCAGTGGCTCCTGTATCTTTCCAACAGCGGCTACTTGAAGGTGCTCGTGGACAGCTTGGTGGATGACGACCGGACCTTGCAGAGCCTGCTCACCCCACAGCCGCCTCTTCTCAAAGCCCTTTACACTTACGAGTCCAAGATGGTAAGGCTGCGTGGCTGTTCCCAGTGCGAGCACAGGGCCCGCTCTGGGGCTAGTGATTCATTTCACATACTTCTTTCTGTCACATAAACTGTAATCATGTTTAAAGGGTATTAGGAAACCCAAGGAGGGATCACTATGAGTCAGGTCCAACTCGACGGCACATAACAGGTATGGCGACATGTGGTGGGAATACATTCTGAGTGTGCCCACACCAGGTTGATGTGCTCGTGAGGGTTGGTTGATGATGAGGCTGCTGCCCCCTCCCTCCCTCCATTGCTGTTACCAGCAGTCGGACTCCATTGCTCACTGAGGAGAGCCGGGAGCACAGGAGTGGCCTAGGGGATGTGCTAATGTAAATGTGCTGTTTCTGTTCTAAACACAAGGTTTTTAGTACAGCCTATCACGTGTTGTTTCCCTTCCTCCAGATCTGTGTTAATTTTTCTGCTCCTGGTTAAACGTCACTCGTGTCGCAGCCCTAGAAGCACTAGAGTCTCGGGTTCACTCTTTTTTCCTACCTTAATTTGTTTACTCGGCAAGCGTTTCATTGAGGGCGGAGTCACACAAGGCACCATGTGCAGGCAGCGGATGAGCTGTGCTGTGTGGTCCTCGTGGGAACTCCATGGAAGGGAGGTGTAGCGTGTCCCCTCTCAGCCAGCTCACATCTCAGTGGGACTGGAAGATCAGAAACGTGAGGATGAGAGAGTCTTGTTGGTGCGTCAGCCCTTGGCTGTGATTTCAGCCACTTCAGTGACTTTCTGTAACTTCCTAGGCGTTCCTCACCAGAGTGGCTAAGATACAGCAGGGCGCTTTGGAGCTGCTGCGGGCCGGGGTCATCGTGCAGCTTGCCCAGTGCCAAGTTTACGACATGCGCCCAGAAATGGACCCTCAGGGGTAAGTGTCCACGAAGGCTTGCTTCTGCGAAGCCCCCAGGAAGGATTCCTGAGGAAGAGGTTCTGAACATCATATTCAACATTCTGCGGGGACAGTTCTTTCTGCTCTTGGTGTGCGTTTGTTGTGATGCCTCTGCCGTTGGTAGGTGGGAGTTATAATAAGGGTAGAAGTGGGTGGGGACTACTACTTTCCATCTTAGCGTAGTGATACCGGGGAAACAGGAGAGGAATTGTGTCAGTAAACGTGTGTCTCCCGTATTCGTCTTGTTTGATGCTGCTGCCACTAGTCAGTGAAAGGGCCCTTTACAATATATGGTGATTTCTTGTGCATTTCCAGTCCTGAGGACCACAGTTAGAATTTCAGAGTTCGTACTTTTTTTTATCTTTTTCTCAACTGCTTGCTCCTGTGAAATTCTCCTCCAGTGGGATTCTCAGATTTCAGGCTTTCTAGCAGATTCCTCAGTTGTCTGGATATGGCGTTTTTTCCTGTGTGGCTGCAGCTCTGTTCAACATCTCCTCTTAGCAAGAAGAAATAGCATTGGGGTTGATTGACTGATAGTCAAGGGCTGCATTGTCAGATTGAATGTTCCAGGCTTACCTATAGAGCTTTTACTGCCTGAGGAGAAAAACGTTGGTATTTCTAAAGTCGAAGCATGGGAATTATTATTCCATTTTCACTGGAGGTGAAGAAAGTCAAGTTAATTACCCACCTGGGGCCGTGGGGCCGCATCCTCCCCCATCCTCCCCCATCCTCCCCCTGTTTCCTTCCCTTCTCAACAGGTAGCTGCTCACTTTGTTTACTATATAAATCGACACAAATTTAAATGTAAACGTTATAAGAAATCACACTATTAATACAGTGCTCTGAGACAGTCCTAAAGGTTGACTGAAGTTACAGCCTAACTTCCACTATTTTTTATTTTAAATCTTGTTTTCTTTTTTATAATGGACACAGAGCTGTTTCTTGGGCATACATATAGGAGAGGGAAGTTTAGGAAAAATAGCATCTCTTTCTCACCCACAGTCTCTGTGGCCTAGGGGAGCATGTCAAGTAGAGTGACTCTCTTTGAAAAGTTTTGAACATTGTCTTTTCAAATTACACAGACTACTTTAATGACATTTTCAAAATCCAGATAATTCTGCTCTTACTGGTGAAGTTGTAAATTTAGGCAGAAACGCCTGTCTTTAAACATGTTAATGGACGCCAGGGTGTAGAGCACTCATGAGCAGCTGGGCTGTGAGTGGGTTGCCCTGTAGATGGTAACAAGCCGATAGTGTGTCCCCCTAACTCTGGGAATGTTGCTCTCTCCGTCGGTTGCAATGAATCCAGCATGTTTGGCATGAGAGACCCCCCGGTGTTCATCCCCACCCCAGCGGATCGGTACCGGCAGATCCTCCTTCCTGCGCTGCAGCTGTGCCAGGTCATCCTCACGTCGAGTATGGTCCAACACCTGCAGGCAGCCTCACAGGTAAGCGCTCCCTGGCTTGGAGATCCTCAAGTGCACCGCTCCTTTCCACAAACGGAAGCTTAGCCACAGAAGGCCTCGGCGACCTCACCTTAACCTTGCTGTTAGAGGCACAGCTGGGTACAGGAAGGCCAAGGGCACAGAGGCCCCTTGCGCTTGCTTTGTAAGCCAGTCGGCCTGCTCTGTACTCTTGTTTGAATGAAGTGCTGTAGCAAATGAACCGACCAGTGAGATGGGAAGCGAGAGATGTCACTTTGTTTTGTAAGAAGAAATAATGACTGGGTGGGAAGTGATTGGCTTCTGACATTTAATCCCATCAGTATTCATTCAGAGGGCATTATACAGTGCTCAGTCCTGCAGAAAATGCAAAAGATAGGTTTATTTATTTATTTGCCACATTTAGAGAAATAAGTGACTTTTCTTTAGATCCTAGTTCGTTTTATTTTCATTGCTTTTTCGTGAAACCTTAAAAAAATATATTGTATGTTTCTTTGTGTCTTTAAACTAATAATATACCATAGGCTTTTATGGATTAGTTAGGCTCATCTTTTGTTATGATTTTCTGTTACACTTTGTGGCCCTCAGAGCTGTGTCTGTGTCCCCAGACACTTGGATTTATGGTCAGTTGTCTGCTTTCCCTGCCTTCACCCTCATTCTTACCTCACAGAGGTGGAATGCTGCTGTTCCTAACTTGTCGCCTTACTTGAGATGCATTAGTGTAGGTGGGTCCTGCGCCCTCCAGAGGTGCCCCTTAAGTCACTTCTTTAAACCTCAGGGACTTTCCTGTTTTCTCCTTTATTGAAATTTAGATTCTTCAGAGGAACTGGGACATTGTGATGTAAGACATTGGTCTTCTAAGACTAATCATGTATTGGCTGTTTCAGAATCACCCGAAGAACTTCCTAAAACAAAAACAGAAAGTAAACAGATTCCTGAGTCCAGGTCCAGAAATTACGGGCTGAGGCCAGGAGTCCGTGATAAAAAACAAAAAGGGCACGTGATTCCGGGTCTCTGCTTGGTTTGTCATTGTCTCTGCCTCTAAGGCATGTAGAACCTAGTTGAAGAGATGGTCAAATATGCGCATGATCACAGAAGGCTGCGTGGTGGTTCATTTGTAAGATGCCACTTGGAAAGGGCAGAATCTGGAGATGAGGGTGTGCAGCTCCCGTGAGTTCACCATCTTAGAAGAACGAGACAATGTTTTATGTGGTTTTCACTTTACATAGAGCAACTTCCTGAATTCAGAAAGTCATTTTTCTGCATACTCATTTTAAATTCTCTTCTCATTCTTTGTGGACAAACAGTAAAGGAAGCTAAGTGGGTTAAAGGATAGTCTTCATATGGTGACACCAGGTTACATAGTCTGTGGGTGTTCTTATAAGCTTGGAAATGACCCTTATCCCCAGCTTCTTAGTGAATTCTAGTTAAACGCTGGCGTTTTGAAGAAGTAAATTATGTAAGTACAGAAGGCACTTGCCTCTTACTCTTCATTACACTGAATGACTTATTTCAGCGTTGTTACTGAGAAGGTGAATTATAAATTTGTCATTGAGTCTCTTACTGTTGCCCCTGTTTCTCACCATCTCCCCCTGTTCCTGTGGCTTAGGTGTTGCAGTTTCTCATTTCCCATTCCGACACCATCCAAGCAATCCTGCGCTGTCAGGACGTGAGTGCGGGGTCTCTGCAGGAGTTGGCTCTGCTGACAGGAATTATCAGCAAGGCGGCACTGCCTGGTGAGTTATCATGTGGAAAAGACATCTGGTATTTTTTGTAGACTAATATACACTGACCAGAAATCCAAACCTGTTGCCGTTTAGTTGATTTTAATGTGTAGTGACCCTACCGGGCAGAGTAGAATTGCCCCATGGGGTTTCCAAGGCTGTCATCTTTATAGAAAAAAAACCTCACTGCCGTCAAGTCGGATGCAACTCATAGCGACCCCTCCTTGGGTTTCAGAAGCGATATCACTATGGAAGTAGATTGCCCAAACTTCCTTCCAAGGGGTGGCTGGTGGGTTTTGAACCACCAGCCTTCTGATTAGCAGTCCAATGCCTTAGGCACTACGCCACCAGAGCCCCTCATCTTTACAGAAGCAAAGCCCAAACCAAACCCACTGCTATGGAGTTGATTCTGACTCATAGCGACCCTGTAGGACAGAGTAGACCTGCCCCATGAGTTTCCAAGGCTGTAATCTTTATGGAAGTAGACTGACACATCTTTTGCCTACAGAGTGGCTTTTGGGTTTGTACTAGTGGCCTTTTTGGTTAGCAGCTGAATACTTTAACTACTGCAACACTAGAGCTCCTTATACTTACAGAAAACCAAACCTGTTGCTGTCAAGTCAATTTCAATGCATAGAGACCCTGTGGGACAGAGTGGAAGTGTCCTATAAGGTTTTTCAGGTAGTAATCTTCATGAAGCAGACTGCCACGTCTTTCTCCCACTGAGCGACTGGTGGGCTCGGACAGCAGGCTTCACACCAGCAGCTGTGTGCTTCCTGTGGCCCCAGGGAGACACAGAATGAGGTTTCCTCACTTTGAGGCTGGGTACGGTTTATTTGAAATCAGTATCACTAATGGAATGAACATGACGTTTTTGTTTTTGAAAGAAATAAGTTTATATTTACAAGAATGATAAATGGTCACTATAAAAATACTGAGATGTTCAAGAGAAAAATGAGGAAACGCTCAAAATCCTGCTCTCCATAATGCCAGTGTTCACGTTTATTCTCCCGTCGCTGGACGTCGTTGTGCACGAGCCCCCACGGGAGGCACAGAGAGGCAGCTTTGTGAAGATAAGATTACCGTGCTGTTTTAAAATTTAGGTAGTTGATTTTACATAGATTTATAATAGACTAAAAATCTCCCTAAAGAGACACTGGCAGAGTTGCTGAATTCCGTGTGTTTCCTCACTGTAAGAATACGAGAGAGATGAGTCTTTAACAGATCCTGAGATGCAGAGAGAAGACCCTGAAAGCACTTACGATGCATTGGTTGTTACAGATTTTACTTTGTAGTTTAGTTTTTCCTCCGCATGTACATTTGAGACAATCGGTTATCTCACCGGATAGGAAAGCTGAAGAGTTCTCGCCACTTGCCCTTTCCCTTAGATTCTGTTGCGTCTGGTTTTAGAGCATTTACCTTCCGTCCTGCAATCATAGGAGCCTCGGTGGCTTACTTTACAGGAAGTCACAGCTCTTTCTTCCCCACGGCATCACCCTTCCTAGGTTCTTTCTGTTGATTTGTCTCTTCGTATTTTTAGTTTGTGTTGAGGTTCTCCTCCACAAGGAAAACTGCATTATGTTCCCTGAGTCCACAATGAAGAATGTCTGAAGGTTGCCTTGATGGTTTTTGTCCCCACATGGTATTGATTTATTTTGTTTTTGCTGAAAAGCTTCACAGCAAAGCACACGCTACCTGGACGGTATCTACATGACGGTTTGTTGTTGTTGTTGTTATGTGCCGTCTTGGGTTTCCAAGGTAGTATCACTACGGAAGTAGATTGCCCCATCTTCCTTCCGGGGAATGGCTGGTGGGTTTGAACCGCCAGCCTTCTGGTTAGCAGTCAAGTGCCTTAGCCACTATGCTACCAGAGCTCCCACATGACGGTTTAGTGATGATAATTCAGGCTGTGCTGCCATTTTTGCCTGTTCTTCTGAGTCATTCCTTCCTCATTAACATCAAGTCACTGCCCCAAGGTTCCTCTCTGACCTTCCAAGTTACTATGGTCGTTTAGATCATGTATAGTTAGTTCTTAAAAGAGCACAATACTCAAGGTGGACTTTTTTTTCTTAGTAGTTACACTAAACTACTATCTGGTTTAGAGAAGACTTCAGGGCATATTTTTGGTTTAAGGTTTAAAGATTATCTCAGGCTGTAGTTTCAGGGCCTCATCCGTGGCTCATCCAGAATGAATGCTGGGACCAAGTGTGCCCCAAACTCCAGAGACCTTTATCCATGCTTCTCTTTATATATTGGAAGCAGATCACATCCCTAAGGCAGCTACTCAGCTGTTCCAGTAGATTCTACCATGGAGTTGATTACCTGTCTCATCATAGGGAATCACTATATCCAGGTGCCCAGTCACTCAAAACCAGGCTGAGCCAAGTTGATGCATAACCTTACCTACCACAATGTACTAGGCACAGCTTTAAAATATTTCACATGCTCATTGATACTGACAAAGTCTTGGGAGGTCAGAATTGTTATTGGTCCCATTTTATAGCGGCAGACTTGTCCAGGGTCGCTCTGATAGTCCTGGTGGCATGGACGTCCGGCAGTCTGACTTCTGAGCCAGTAAACTTAACCTCTGGGTGACATTGTTGGCAGGGCCACTGAGCCAGCACCAGTTCACGGCCACCCCCATGTTTAACAGAAGGCAGCGGTGCCTGGTCCTGTGCCAGCCTCTCAGTGATTGCTCTTTGAGCCCATTGTTGCAGCCAGTGTGTCGGTCCATCTTGATGAGGGTCTTCCTTTTTGCTGACCCTCTGCTTTTGGAAATATGATGTCCTTCTCTTGGGTTTGGTTGCTCCTGGTAACTTGTCCGAAGTAAGTGAGACCTATTTGTGTTGCCTCAGAGAGGTCTGAGGCTAGCCCTGGGCCTCTCCCCCCCCAACATTTTTCCTTGCCTGCGTCCTCTAGGCTGGGAGGAGGGGAGTTTAGTAGGGCAGAGTGTAGTGCCAGTTGGGGTCTGGGAGCCTGAGCTTGTTCTTAGGAGCTCCCAGGGCAGATTCCAATATGCCAAGAGAGAAAGTAATCCTGGGCACAAGATCCAGAGGAGGTGAAGGGCTGGATCTACTTGAGAACTGCCGCCCAAGTGAGCAGACAAGCCAGCATGGGCCAGGTGGGGCTGAGGTCATGTGGTGGCCGAGCTAGAATGAGGCAGAGGACAGGGTCCTGGGTCATGTGTGATGGAATATGTGCGGCCCGATCTAGAATGAGGCAGAGGACAGGGTTCTGGGTCATGTGTGATGGAATATGTGCTTGGAAGTGAGTCGAAGTGAGTCAAAGGGATTGTGAAAACACACGGAAAGTTAGTGTGACTGGGACAGGCCCAGTGAGTTCCCTCCAGCGTGACTGCAGTCATGGGGCAGAGAAACAGCCCAGTGGTGAGAAGACCCAGGGGCTTGCTTGGAGTGGATCTGGTGGGTCTGAGGAGCAGGGCCTAGTCTGATGTCTTTGCCAGGGGGCTCGCTTGTTTTCACTGGAATAGAGTTTCTCAGGGCTGAGAAGTGTGGGCTGGAGAACGGCCTCTGTCCAGGCCACGCTGGCAGAACAGAGCAAGGGAGAAGCCGGTGCCTCTCAGTGCCTCTGCTCTGAAGAGCTCTCCCATGCCACCAGACAGAAGTCAAGCCCAGTGTCAGAAGCTCAGGAAGGAGATGGCAACCGGGGGTTGGTAAATGCACGTCCACGACTCGGAGTAACCGTTTCACCTGCACACTGTGGGCTGGGTGTGATGCTTGCCTCTGTTCCAGTCAGATGAGACACAGTCCTTGGGGTCTGCAGGGGGACGGTTGTCATGTTAATTCTCCATGTGACCTTGGGCACATCGTTCACCTCTCAGTAGAAATCAAGGAAGTCGACGTACTGTAAGTTGATCAGCCTGGCTTAGGAATTTAGTAATGGCTTCAAGCCAGAAGCAGCATGGAAACGTTTTTCTGGCGAACTGTAGTGTGTCCAAGGGGAGGGATCAAATCCCATGCTGCCTAGAGGGGTTGGAAGGAAAAGGAAATCTAGTTTTGTCCTTTGTGTTTTCCATGGGAAAGTAACTTACTGGTGTATTTAGAAAGTTTTAATTTTTATGGTCATAAATGTAACTTATTTCTTTCTTGAAAACTTAAAAACAATACTTTTAAAAATCATTAATTCGACATGGACTTTTGGTTGCATATGAATGAGCACATGATGGTGTTAATATCTGTAAGGCACTTGGGTTGATTGTAAGTTCATTTTTCAGAACTCCTCCTTGGAGGGCAGTGTTTGCACAAGGAGAGCTCAGGGGGCAGGAATGCATAGGAAAGAAGGACACAGGGAAGAGGTAACTACAAGGAGGAAGTGGGAAGAGAGCTGTTATACTGTGGGGAATTACAGTCAATGTCACGAAACAAAATGTGTATGAACTGCTGTATGGAAAATGAATTTGGTCTGTATGCTTTCACCCAAATCACAAATTTTTTTAAAAAAAACTCCTTCATGGCACAATCTGCCTGTTTGTCACATGAAGAATGTAAAGTATTAGGATTGCTCTTCCATGTGGTCAGTGCTTTTATCTTGTTGATGGTAGTAAAGCCACGCTTAAAAGTGTTCTCCATTTTATAGGTATAGTAAGTGAACTTGACGTTGATGTAAATGAAGGATCTTTAATGGAATTACAGGGACATATTGGACGATTCCAGGTAAGTATTCTTATTTCTTCGAGAGTCTGGCTTAGCAACCTTCTCCGGGAAATGTTCTTTGTGCGAACTCGCTGAGAGATACGCGTATCGTATTGACAGTCAATACGATTGCAGTATCTCCAGACCCAGAGGTACATCTGCCTCCGCCTGTTCTGTGATCTGTGCTTTCCCTCAGCATATTTAATACAGATTAAGATCACCACCTGAAAATACGGTTTAGTCACCACCATGTCCTGCAGGTTCGTCGTCTGGAGTCGAGTGTTTCTGTCAGGCTTACTGTATTATACAACAGTACACTTGGCCCAGCCTCCCCCTCTGCTTCTCATAGTTGAGCCTCTGGTTCAGTGTTTTTAATGGATTCTTTGATGTCTCTACATGTTCATGTTGCTACTTCTTGGTTTTTCAGTTGTAGCAATGGTCTGTTGAGTCTCCCTGAAGGAGGATGAGAAAGTAGATCTCCTTACTCCTTTCCTACTATCACACGGTGTGTAATTCCACATGCCACCCCACCTCACCCCAAAATTCTCAATGCAGTTATTTCTGAATGTTGGTTAGGGTAATATTTAGTATTGCATTATTGTATCTATAAATGTCCTTTTGATTGGGCTGTGGGCTGTACCGTGATTTTTTTTCTGTGCAAAATTTTGTTTCCCCTGGTGTTCGTAGTTGTTTCTGCTTTCATTTGCTTGCTTTTTAAACTAATGATTAAATAGCACAGGTGGGCGCCAGTGGCCCTAAGTCCACATGCTGCATTCTGAGTCATGCTGCCAACAGCTCTCCAGACAGGGTGCATACTTACCAACAAGACCCTAGCACCCCGAGCTTTTCAGTCTCCTAACTTTTTTCATTGGAGGAAAATAGAGACCTTTTTGGTGGATCTTTCGTAAGGTGAACTCTGGCAATGTGTCCATGTGTCTGTTTATCTATAAGAGTAACAAACACACAATAGTTTTTTTTTGTTTGTTTGTTTTTTCCCCTGTAAAGATTAGAAGCCTTGGACATGAGTTGAACATTTACCTGAGGTAGATACACTCCTTGGAGAGAACAATCATGGGAGAAAGAAGGGCTGCTTATGCACAGGGAGACAGCTCAGGGGACAGGAGGGCATGGAGGGATGGACACAGGGAAGAGGTAATTATTGGGAGGAAGTGGGAGGGGAGCTGTTGCATTGTGGTAAACTGTGGTCAATGTCATGAGACAAAGTGTATGTGAACTGCTGTATGGAAAGTGAATTTCCTCTGTAAATCTTCACCCAAATCACACACACACACACAAAAAAGATTTACAGCCTTGGAAAGCCTGTGTGGCAGCTCCACTTTTCCATAGGGTCACTGTAAGTTGGAATAACTTAAAGACAATGCGTTTGTTACACACAATAGTTTTACATTTATAACCATTTTGGCAAAATAAATTGATATTGTCTCCTTGACATATTTTGCTTTATCCTGACTTCTTCTTCCAGCTGACATTAGTGAGATTTTGTATGCACACGCACATGATGTCACCAGGTTTTAAGATACATGTTTTTCATGCCCACTCATGTACAGACACTGTGCTGTGTACTTTGAATACAGTGTTTCAGGTAATCTGGGCAGCAACCTTGTAAGAATTGTTGTCACCACTTTAGAAACATGAACATAGAGGCTTAGGAAAGTTAACTGCCTTGTCCAGGTCACAGAGCAAAAAGACATGGGTCCTACCCACTGACTGTGTGGCCAATTTCAGCTGGATGGCTTGACCCTTCCCTCTGAGACCCAGAGGGACAGTGGTGCCCTCAGATGAAAAGCACCAGCATTGCACGTGGTGACGTTTGTGTTGCGTCTCCCAGGGTGCCTGCTCCCGCCCCTTTGCTGCTGTGCCTGGCGCAGCCACAGCAGCCTTGTGTGTGTGCTTCGGGACACGTGCTCAGCACGGCCCGCCGGTTCCCACCTTCTGTTTGCTCTCTTCTTTGGCTTATTGCTGTGGTTCCTTGTATGAGTACGTACCGAGGAATTATTCAGTAGTTTTCTTTGGTTTGATGCAAAAAATCTGTTGGCAAACATTTAGATCATGTTGGAGACTAATAGCTAAAACTTGGTTTTCTTTTAATGAGTTGACTGCCAATTGAATACATTTGTGAAAAGACACCTTTGAGTAATGCTGACTTTAGTCAGCTTTGTTGAGAGCAAGAAATCGGACACCTTCAAGATGGATTTCACGCCCCCCTGGGTTTTTCCTTGTTTAGAGAGGTCACTAGTTTTAAACATTCAGCTGGACATCAACAGAATATCTTCTTCTCCTTAGCGTCAGTGCTTAGGGCTGCTCAGTCGCTTTGGTGGCTCCGACAGGCTGCGTCAGTTTAAATTTCAAGACGATAACGTGGCAGCAGATCGAGTGAGCAAAAAGGATGAGATTGAACTGGCCGTGCAGCAGGTACGCGTGGAGCGATGGGCATGTTCTTTACGATTTTTACACTTTTGGAACTAGTTAATAAAAAAGTACTCACATCTGTTAAGTAATTTTTTATTAACTAGTTCCAAAAGTATAATTGTATAATTATAATTGTACTATATAATTACTTAACAGATGTGAGTAATTACAAATTGAGTTATAACTTGGTTCTCCTTCAAATTTGGGTTTCCCCGAAATCCGGGCATTTTGGGAGCCACCATTTCTGTGCCCACTGTTGCTCCGTTTAGATCTGTGCCAACGTCATGGAATATTGCCAGTCCCTCATGTTGCAGAGCTCACCTACCTGTCAGCATGCTGCCTGTCTCTTCACCCCCAGCCTTTCCGAGACCATGAACAGAGACGGACCACGGCCAGGTGAGCCCCGTCCAGTCCCTTCTTTGTGTGTCAAGGAGCTGAGCGGCTGTGGCTGTGGCTGGATTCTCAGTGGCTCCAGGAAGGGGCACTGCTTGTCATCGTTATGGTGAGGGTTAACGGGAATTTTTAAAAAAGGCTTTGGAAAGAAGGAGTGGTGTGGAGCTTCTATTGTCAGCCTGGCCTATAGGTCTAGAGAGCTTGAGAGGTGGGGGAAAAGATTTTCTGAGGCTGAATCTGGAGGAGCCATGTGGAGAGAAAATTGTTTTGAGTAGTAGAACCTGAGATGCAAAAGAAGGGCCCCAGGATTGGAGAGTAAGTTAGTGGAGTAAGCCCTGCCCCACTGCATTATTGTAGGGGTTAAATCAGTGAGTTAATGTATGTAAAATGCTTAGAACAGTGCCTGGCACTTGGTGTCACAGGAGTGTTAACTATGGCTATTTTCCATTTTTGCTCTGGTTGCTATTTGGCCGGTTTATATGACCTGTGAACTAAGGACCCTGTTGTATAGTGCTTCTACTTATCAGGCATTACGGCCTCACCTGTGCAGTTTGGTTCTGCAGTCACATCTCTTACCACCTGCCACCATCTCCCGGCCTTCCCTACCAGTTCCAGCCCTCCAAAAAGCTGTCTGCCGCATTTCAGGAGGTGGCATGTGATGGACTACACCTCAACATAAAGAAAACAAAAGTCCTCCCAACAGGACCAATAAGCAACATCACAGTAGATGGAGGAAAAATGGAAGTTGTCTAAGATTTCATGTTGCTTGGTTCTACAATCAATGCCAATGGAAGCAGCAGTCAAGACATCAAAAGACGTATTGCATTGGGCAAATCTGTTACAAAAGACCTCTTTCAAGTGCTGAAGAGCAAAGATATCTCCTTGAAGACTAGGATGCGCCTAACCCAGGCCATGGTATTTTTAATTGCTTCATATGCATGTGAGAGCTGGACAGTGAATAAGGAAGATCGAAGAAGAGTTGATGCTTTTGAGTTGTGGTATTGGTGAAGAATGCCGGAAGTACCGTGGACTGCTAAAAGGACTAACAAATTTGTCCTGGAAGAAGTGCAGCTGGAATGCACCTTGGAAACGAGAATGGCCAGACTTTGTCTCACCTACTTTGGTCATGTTGTCAGAAGGGACCATTCTCTGGAGAAGGTTGTTATACTTGGTAAAGTGGAGGGTCAATGAAAGAGGGGAAGTCCCTCAATGAGATGAATAGACATGGTAGCTGCAGTGATGGGCTCAGGTATAGTAGGGATCATGAGGCTGGCACAGGACTGGGTGGTGTTTTATTCTGTTGTACATAAGGTCGCTATGAGTTGGAGACGACTTGATGGCATAACAATGACAAGAAGAAGTCACATGTCTCTTGAGCCTTCCTCAACTGGTCTCTAAGTCAGTGGCCTCTGTGGGCTCTAATATTTTCTAGACTTGAGCAGCTTGGAGTGGTGAGAACTATGAAAGGCTCTTAAGTCCTTCTGGCATTAGCTCATTCTGTGTGTGGCTGTCTTCCCACCAGGATAGAGAGCTCACAGATGTTACCTGGGGACCAGGCACCTAATTTCCCTGGGAGAGGACTCTCTTACCTACATTGTAAAGGTTGTCACATCATCACTAAAGACTGGAAAAGAGACTTGGAAAGTCACATGTCTAGGGTAGCATCAACAAACAGATGCCCCATGGGAGGTATTCACTTGTCTATGCCAAGTACTTTGGAAGACAGCCACCTGGTCAAGAAGAGATCCATATTTGTACCCATTCCAAAGAAAGGCAATTCAATAGAATGTGGAAATTATTGAACAATAGTGTTAATATCACATACAAGTAAAATTTTGCTGAAGATAATTCAAAAATGGTTGTGGCAGTATATGGACAGGGGACTTCCAAAAATGCAATCTGGATTTAGAAGAGGACGAGGAACAAGGGATATCACTGCTGATGCCAGCCCAATCTTGGCTGAAAGCAAAGACTACCAGAATAAAACTTGTGTATTATTAACTGTACAAAACTATACAAAGCATTCAAAAAATAAATAAAATTTAAATTATAAAAATAATAAAAAGCATTTGACTGTGTGGATCATAACAGATTATTGATAGCACTGAGAAAAATGGGAATCCCAGAGCAATCAATTGTGCATATGAGGAACCTGTACATAGACCAGGAGGCTGTTGTTAGAACAGAACAAGAAGACACCGCATGGCTGTATATCAGGACTGTATTCTTTCCCCACACTTAGTCGATCTGTATGCTGAGCAAATAATCCGAGAAGTCGGACTGTATGATGAAGAATGCGACATCAGAATTGGAGGAAGACTCATTAACAGCCTTTAATTAATAGGCAGAAGACACAGCCTTGCTTGCTGAAAGTGAAGATGACTTAAAGCACTTACTGATGAAGATTAAAGACTACAGTCTGCAGATTGGATTATACCTCAAAATATTATACCTCAAAATTCTGTGTGTGTGGCTAAAGAAAACAAAATCCTCACAACTGGACCAATAAGCAGCATTACAGTAAGTGGGGAAAAGATTGACATTGTCAAAGATTTCCTTTTACTCGGATCCATAATCAACACCAATGGAAGCAGCAGTCAAAAAATCGGACAATCTATCACACTGGGCAGATCTGCAAAAGACCTCTTTAAAGTGCTAAAAAAAGCAAAAAGATTCTCTTCAGAGACTAAGGTGCCTAACTCAAGCCGTGGTATTTTCAGTAGCTTCATATGCATGTGAAAGCTGGAGAATGAGTTAGGAAGATGAAGCAGAGTTGCTGCTTTTGGGTTGTGTTGGCAAAGAATGCCTGGAATCCCATGGACTGTCAGAAGAACAAACACATGGGTCCTGGAGGAAGTGCAGCTGGAATCCTCCTTGGAAGCAAGAATGGCCAGACTTTGCCTCACCTACTTTGGTCACGTCTGACTGTAGACGGAAACCATGCTGTTTGGCTCCCAAGTGGACGTGTTAAAGGGTAAATCCAGCTCTGTTCTCAAGTATTTGAGCTAGTGTTTTCCTTGTGTCTTTGGAAGAATGATGCTCAGCCAACTGTTCCGTAACCAGCCTGGAAATGAAGCCGTGGAACTAGACCCGTAGGGTGAGGTGGGAGGGGTTTACCCAGGGTGAGAAACCCCTGGAAATTGTGCTTGTGTATCTGTAGTTTGTGTGTGTGTGTTGTGGGTAGATGTGGGCAGGTATAAGGGTTTGTAGCATCCGTGATGTTTTCAAAGAGGTCCAAAGCCAATCCAAGGCAAGCTCTGTTGGCATCCAGTAGCCACATGTCCTCTTCTCCCAAGGTGGTCACAGAACTCCTAACTGCTCCTCTGAACAGTGAATGGTGGTTCAAAGGAGACTTGCCTTGGGTTTTATGATAGTTTATGTGCCCTTAACTGCTAGGTGCCCATGTTTGAAAGCAGGTCATTTGTAAGGCAAAAAAAAGATTGCCAGCATATAACAGTGTTTGGTGTCTTCACTCAATTAGATCCCCAAGCTCCAGTGGTTCCGTATTGGCGCCTGCCTGGCCTGGGCATCATTGTCCACCTGCTGAAGCAGAGTGCCAGTGACTTCTTCAGTTACTATGACAGCCATCGGCGGAGTGTCAACAAGCTTCAGAATGTCGAGCAGCTGCCCCCAGACGAGATAAAAGAGGTACGAGTCATGTGCTGACTGGGCTGTGGGGACATCTGAGAAGCATGGTTTGTGCCAGTGAGGGCCAGGGTGCCGACGTCAGAATTGTGAGGAAGAATGACGTATGCGGACATAGGCGGTGTGACAGCAATTAGTGTGACACTCCCGTGTCACTTGGAGAAGGGTCCCACATGTTAGCACCACACCTCATGAGCATAGAACTTCTTGATGGAAAAACAGTGCAGGGGTACCTGTTCTGGAATACCGGCTGCCATCCAATAGAGAGACCTCTGGCCTGTGAGTAATGAGTGGTGATTTATACTATAAAGAAGATGAGGATGTTTTTGTTAATCTGAGTTTTCGTATGTTTTATATATATGTATGTATGTATATACATAGGAGCTCTGGTAGCATAGTGGCTAAGGCACTTGACTGCTAACCAGAAGGCTGGCGCTTCAAACCCACCAGCCACTCCTCGGAAGGAAGGTTGGGCAATCCTACTTCCGTAGTGATACTGCCTCAGGAACCCAAAGAGGGGTCGCTATGAGTCGGGGCTGACTCGACGCACACAACAACAACATATACGTATATGTAAACACATATAGCAAAAAGGACGAGGAGGCTGCCTCTTCTGACCTCCTCCAGTTTCCGGAGTTGGGGGCAGAATCACCACCAACAGCCCAAGGCTTATTCCTGTGAGGCCAGACACACTGCCGCCCTCCAGCCGTTCTACTAACTCTGACACCACTGTCCCTCCCGTGGTGCTCACCACCTCTCTGCTGGGTTCGATAATTCATGCAGCGGCCGCACAGAGCTCACAGGCAGTAGTCATGACTGTGGGGTTTGTTAGGGAAGTAGCAGGCTACCATTGAGGTTCCGGAACACGCTCAGGATACAGTTCTTCCGTCAGGACAGTCTCCCCTTGCTGTGCCCTCAGGCACGCCTCTCTGGCCCTTCGGCTGTCAGCCTGGCCTCTGCCCTGCTTGGGCGAGTGTTAACCCTCTTAGCCCTGCCAGTAAGTACACCTCTGTGCACCCCACTCTGCCAGCAAGCCTCCTGCCCAAGGGCGCTCAGCTTCTAGCTCCATGGGCTGCAAGATTGCCGCTCCGTCTCACGCCTCCTCTTTTCTAGCTCCGTGGGCTGGCAAGGTTGCCGCTCTGTCTCATGCCTCCTCTTGGCTCCACTGCCGCAGTCTCCCTGCCAGGGCGTCTCTGCCAAGGAGGTCCAGCACAGGGATCTCGGGTACAAGGACACCTTCACTTTCCCTCCAGTTCTTTTCTCTTGATGGCAGTGAGATCCCCCTTTCTGTTTCTAGGAGGGCTCATTTTAAGCCTGGCAGAGTGACAAAACACCAATCCCTACATTAGGATTCCACACACCTTATGTGCATGGTCCCACCCCCACAAGGGTGCCATGCACCTTATTTACGTTACTCACAAGCCGTCCAATCCCCTTGGTGGGCCACTAGCACCTTACATTTGCGTAGCACCACCCAGTAATCTGGTGGGAGTCGCAAAGACCACGGCTAGAGGAGCCACCACAGAATTCACAGCATCACACGTGTGTACGTATGTGTGCGTGTTATGCTTTAAGCTTAGGCTTCTGTGGTAGACGCCGTATCCATCAGAGATTTCTTGTGCCTTGAGTATGCAGTATCTGTCCAGTGGATTTTTTCAAACAAATGGGATGGCCTGTCAGCCTCAGCTGCCTTCTCTCAGTGACCAAGGATCATTCTCCTGTACTTACTGTCCCCTTGTGGCCTGCCTTCTTTTCCGTGTGGCCGGTCACCGAGGCAGTGCTGAAGCCCTTGGTGCCCTGTGGCAGTCTGGAGGTTAAGCCGTTTGGCCAGTCCTGGTTCACACCATGTCATGTCACTGTTAGCAGCAGGCAAAGCCCTCTCCTTCTTGCCGCTCTTGGGATAATCACAGGGACATCCATGAAGTGCTTGCCACGTGCCAGGTCAGAACTGTGTGCTCTGCCTGACCTCCATGAGGTAAATAGATGCTTCTTCCACATGTCTGGTGAGGAAACTGAGGCATGGAAGGTTGACTGAACTGAGCACGTGGTTAGCATGTACAACAGGAAGTGGGCATTGTTGACTGGCCTCAGGTAACCCTATGTGTGCATTTGTGTAGCTGGTATTTCCCTCTGGCAGTCATACCTCCCTGATGAGTAGCTCTTTGGCCATTTGCTGGAAGTTGCTAGTTGTCAGAGGAATGGTGTCACCATCCTAAAGTCTGTGGTAGCCCCTCAGCTGCGCTTCAGTAAGCCACTGCCAAACCCAATGTCGGAATGTTAAATCGAGCCCTTGTGCCCATGTGGACACCATGCTGAGAGGTGAGTTGGGGAGGCCCTGGTTGATGGTTCCTGTTCGTTGTGCTCTGGAAATGGGCTTTATGCCCAGAGGGTACTGACAGTTCTTTCAGAAATTCCCCGTGGGTTGCTCCATCCCTGCTGGAACAGTCGTTCTGTTTAATTGGACAGGAAGCTCTGGTTTGGCAGGTGCAGCCACAGCTTGGCAATGTCTGTTTGAGGGACATGGCTTTCAGAGGCAGCAGGTGAACACTCGTTGGTGACAGTGGCCACTTCTCGATCTCATATTTTCCCTCTGGTCACTAGTGTCTAAGTAGACAAGGAGCTCGTGTCTGCAAGGTGCTGGCTTTGAGTGGTTCTTACCGCCCTGTCACAGTGACTGGCCCCGAGGAGATTCTCATCACATTGCTGTGTGCCATCTGTAACAGTGTGCATGTTTCTCACTCTTAAGTTGTGCCAGTCTTTGCTGCCTGCTGGAGTCGATAAAATATCCACTGCCCAGAAGTATGTCCTGGCAAGACGGCGTTTGGTGAAGCTGATCAACAATGGCGCTAAGCTGCTTTCTCTCTGCTCCTGTATCCTTGATGAAGCCACAGCAGAACTTGAACGTGACCTTCCCATTTAATAATTGCCCTTTGAGTATTCAGGCACCAAAGCTGTGGGAAAGGGCATGCGATTATTGTTAGAAACCCGCCCCCCAGTATATGCCTGATGGCACAGTGCTGCCAGATGCCTGATAGACATAGCTCTAGTAGCACAGTGCCCAAGGCATCTGACTGCTAGTCAGAAGGTTGGTTGTTCAAACCCACCAGCCACTCTGCGGAACAAGACTGGGCAATCTACTTCCATAAAGATTTACCGCCTCAGAAACCCAGTGGGAGTTGCTGTGAGTCGGAATGGACCTGACGGCAGTGGGTTAGTATGCGCCTTGTATATTTCTGAACTAAAAATGTTTTTCACACATTTTAGAGAAACTGGGAATGCTGTTGATACATACACACGCTTTCTGGCTGGGCAGGAGAGGAGGGCTCTGGCGACTGGGGCCCCAACCATGCCAACCCCTTCCCCTCAGCAGCCTGGCTGCTATCTGCAGAGGCCTTCAGTGGCGCGCCCCTACCTGTCTGTCAGGTGGAGGGTGTGTGTATGGCACCAGGTGGTGCGATCTCTTTTATCCCCTCAAAAACCGTTCTGAAAACAGACGTGATGGGATTGTTCTCTTTAACCTGAGTGCTGACCTGCAGTCATCATAGAGACCTGCCTGTTCATTTTCTGGCGCCACCTGGAGTACTACCTGCTGCATTGCACGCCCACCGACTCTCAGGATGCCCTGTTTGCCTCTAGGACCTTACTTAAGAGCAGACGGCTACAAGGTAAACCTGGCTCTGAAAACTAGCAGACACCAGTGCATGCAAGTTTTCGTGCTTTGAAAAACCCTTGGGTTTTATTTACGTTTTTGTTTCCAGGTTAGTAAGAGTGATGGACTGGGTACTCTTGAGCCGCTTGCTGGCTCGACACAGCTGCTTTCTGGGTAAACTTGTGGGCTCGGGAATTAGTGCCAAGCAAGTGTCTCCTGCAGGCTCTGTATCCGCTTCCTCAAAGTGAAGGGCTCATCCAGCCCAGAGCCCCCTGGTCCCAAATGCTTTTCCAGAGGAGTGGCCTGGGTCTGCCTAGGCCTGGTCCTTACCACTGGAGCAAGCCCGTGTCACTGGCGAGGGAACCTGGGTGTGGGGGAACAGAAGGAAAGCTTGAGACCCCTGTCCACGACCACTGAGATGCCTCCCAGGGGCTCCCCAGTGTGAGCGTGTTTCTGCGTGGCACTGTTGTTCGTTGCTCTCAGCCGCTTCCCCGTGTCACAGAAGCCGGTGTGACTCTCTGTCTGCTCTAGATCCCTTCGCCCCTGACACCAGCCTGGACTTCAGAAGTGGGCTGACTGTGGTGAGCCAACACGACGTAGACCAGGTGAGCGGCCGCACCCACACACTTGGTTGTTTTATTTTTTTAAGTAATTCACAACGCCTGCTGTGTGAGTGCGAGCACAGCGTGCAGGGTGGCTCCAGGGTCGACGTTGACCGTTTAATAACTCTGTGACTTTGTGCGACTTGCTTAGCTTCTGAGCCTTCGCGTCCTCATCTGAGAGGTGGGTTTCATCAGAGCGCAAGGAAGTTTACTGGCCGTGGGCCTCCAGGGGAAGTGCTCCGAGATCCATGGATGTTATTGTCTGGAAACTCCACTGCCCGTTAGAGAACAGAAACCACGGGTTCTTTTGTTTTCCCTTTTGACTAACTTTGTAGTTTTTAGGCACAAGATAACACTTAATGTGCAGTTTCGTCAGGAATTAATTTAATAGTAAAAGAATGAGTAGCCATTAAAATTCCCCTCTGGTACACGATCACACGTCACCTGGCACCATGCACTGTTCCCCTCTGGTGGGCTGTCACCTCACCCAGCACTAAGCACTTAGTTGCCTTTCGACTGATTTTGTTGGAATGAATAAAGAGCATCCCAGAGACAGTTAAAAATGAAAGCAGCGTATTCATCCTAGCTGAGTCCTGGTTTAAGGAGCTCTGGTGGCGTAGTGGATGAGGCATTTGGTTGCCGACCAGGTCAGCGGTTCAAGCCTACCAGCTGCTCCGCTGAAGGAACATGGGGCATTCTGCTTCCATAAAGGTCTACAGCCCTGGAAGCCTCGTGGGGGTCACTCTGAGTCGGATTCGACTCAATGGCAGTGAGTTTGTTTTTTTTTTTTAAGTCGTTTTTTTTGGTTCTTAAAAAGTAGTTGCCAGGATGTGTGGTGCAGGAAAAGAAATGGCAGTGGCATCTGCTGCTGGCCATCTCCAGCAGTGGACTGTAAAGCCTGTCCCTGGTCCCCCCTCGTCACTGACTTCTGAACACTGAGGGTGGGCCTTAGCACACAGGAGCCTGGGCCCCCGCCTTCAGGCTGCACCCACAGAGGCCCAGCCCCGGGTGACTGCCATGCTTTGGCTGGGCTCACAGAGCAAAGCCAGTGCTAAGCAAAGCCACGTGCAGAATTAGTCAGAGAGTCTTATCACCTGAAGGTGTTTAATAAATATTTGTTGAATTAATGCCCGTGTTATGGTTCTGTTAGACAGAAAAAACAATGCAGGATGAATAAATAATTTCATAAAATAATCTGCTGAGACTTTAACGCAAAACTGAAGGCAGGGAGATTTATCTAATTTTGAACTTAGTTTTAGCATTTCTGTTTAATATCCAAAAGATCCACCTGAAACTACCTATGCCTGCTGAAATACACATGACTCTAATGATTAGACGAGGACAGCCTCCCTCATTTATAGTTCTTGAAAGTTAAAGCCTGCAAATGGCTTTTAAAGATTGGGAAATGAAGTAAAAGTCAAAGCCTCCCACCGCACCTGACCTTGGTCTCTTCCCACAAGGCAGCTTCTCTTCCCCAGTTGTCGCATGGCCCCCCGGAGACTGCTGCTGTGCCTGAGTCTGTGTGTCATGTACGTCAGAAGTTCTGCTCAAAGCAGGCTTTAAGTTTCACGTGTCAGACAGGAAAGGAGAGAGAGGAAACCGTTAGCATCATGCTGTAAAATTCTAGGTGGGAAATGTAGGTGTTGCGTTAATCCGATGTCTGAGCCAGAACCACGTTACAGAACTTGCGAGGTAGTTTAAATCGTGAGACACAGAAGAAAAGAGATGTTTGAGACCGCGATTCTAACACTGCAGTGTCACTGTGCCCTGCAGCTGCAGACTGACTCCATCAACGCGTTTGGAGAATCACTGCAGAAGAAGCTACTGGACATTGAAGGGCTGTATTCCAAAGTCCGGTCTCGCCACAGTTTCATACAAGCCCTGGTCAGACGCATCCGCGGCCTGCTGAGGAGACCAAGGAACTGAGTGCGGCTCGTGCTCTTCCCATGGGAGAGATGAACTGCGGAGGACTGTCTCCTTTTTATGGATTCGTTTATTTCTAAATTATGACCAAAAATTATTTTGTATTACTTTCTTTATAAATGGACATCTTTTCTGGAATCGTCTTTGCCTGGTCCCATCTTCACTAGTGAAAAATAAATCCTTTTTAAAAAACAAAACAAATGTACGCAGTTTTATCCAGAAGCTGATCCGCGGGGTGGGACTCTACACATCAGTCTTCCACTAGGGAACGCAGGATTAAAGGCATCCTGTGGAAATGTGACTTTTCTCCCTTCATACCCACATCACGTTTCTCCTGCTCAGGGTCCCTCCTGGGGGTGCGGTAGCAGGAAACACCAGCCCTGTTCTTTGTAGTGTCGTGGGCTCCGTACTGCGAGTAACGTGTTAACAGAAATGATTCCAAAAGCCTGCTCGTCTTTTCCCTAGTGTTAACCAACTTTTGCCTTTTTAAATCTTTTCTGCACTTAAATGACAGTATAATAAAGTTCACTTGTTCCTGAGAAATGGCTATGGAACTTCTGAATCATCTGCCTTTCTTTCTCATGTAATTAACACGATGGCTTGACGAAAGAGTTATACATGCAGCCACCCCTCCAGTTCTTACCCGGTTGCATTTATTAGCGAGTGACAGCATCACATGGGAGTGCATGTTGCCTTTCCTGGCCAGAGGTTATTTCAGCCCAGAACGTAGGAGAGGCTGCCACAAGGCAAAGAGCCTTGACTGTCATGTCAGAAGGAAAGGCATTGTTACTCTATAATGTTGCCTTTAAAAAAATCTTAACGTTTCTGTGGCTTTTAAGGCTTTTTTCAAAGGCCTTGCCATCATTCCATTTTGAGATCAGTTTACTGTGCTTCACTGGAAGACAGATTGCTGTTGAGTTGACCCTGACTCATGACGACCTTCTGTGCAGCAGAACTTAACGTTGCCCATCCTGCATCCTCCTCAAGATTGCCTCCATATGGAAGCCCGTCCTTGGAATTGCTGTGCCAGCCCGTCTCATCAATTGCTCCCTCGTCCTCAGTGGTCCAAACGTGAAGCTCTTATCCAGTGATTAATCGCTCTTGATGACGTGTCCAGAGCAACGACAGTGTTCTGTTGTGACTCGTAGGTTTCCTTTGGCTGATGTTTGGAAGTAACCATGAGGCCTTTCTCCCCAGCTAGGACACTCTGTTGGAACCTGTCCGCTGTGGGTGACCCTGCTGGCATTTGAAACACCAGCAGCATTGCGTCTCGCGTCACAGCCACACGTGAGTCCCCACTGTATGGCAGCCTGACTGATGAGCAGTGGTAGCTGGAAATCCTGTTAATAGACAGAAGTCCTAGAGGGATGGGGACGAACCCGTAACTGGATTCCAGTGTAGTCGTCATGCCTGTTGCTGCCCTGCTCAGGTGCATGGGGATCTGTCATCTAGAACAGAGGCATGAACCCAGAAATAATCTGAGATAGAGTCTGGGCGCAGACGCAACACGTGTTCTGAACCACTGGGGGGAGTGAAGCCTTCCATCGACTGAGAGACTGACTACGTTTGGAATCATTGGAGATTGCATTTACTAAGCCTCCTTATCTTGTTTCTCCATCATCCAAAACACAGCAGACTGTGGGTCAGAAATGGGGCAGCGGAGAAGTGGGGGGGCATTCAAGGGAATGCTCCTATAAACTTGATAGTTTGGGCTAATTGCCTTCCACAGATTTGAACAGTTTGCGTCACACAAACTGTCCATCTGTGCCTGTTCCCCACTCTTGTCAGTACAGTGTATTGTCAGGCTTTGACATCTGCTAATGTGGTAGGAAAAAAAAGAGCCTTCTGGTATTAATTCATGTTTCTCTTATGAGCACAACTGAGTAGCTTTTCATATGTTTGAGCCATTTTGTATTCCCTTTTCTAGGCAACTGTTCACATCTGTGCCCATTTTTTATTGAATTGTTCTCATTGATTTGTAGGAACTCTTTGTATAGAGAAAACTAGCTCTTTTTTGCTTGTTTTACAAATTGTGTTTTTTAATTTTTTCTGCCATACAGAAATTTTTTTTTTTTTTAATGTAGGTCATTTTATCAGTCTTTTCTTCTATGGTTTCTGGGATTAGTATCATGTTTGTTATGTGAAAAACCTGTTTCAAGATTATAAAACAATTTATCCTCTTTTCCCCTAGTAATTTTCGTATTGTTCTCCTTGTTTTGCTTTTTTTTTTAAATAACCTGTTATTAATCTGAATGTATTTATGTGTAGTGTGAGGTTGGAACTCAACCTTTTTTTACCCCCAGTAGGACACATCAATGAACCTAGTAAAATCAGTGTCTTATGTTGAATGATCCACCTTTTCTGTATTTGGTGCTCACAGTTGTTGGTTTGGGACTGGAAAAGGCTGGATTGATCAAGGGCTAGGATTTTAAAAGGCAAGTGTCACAGAAGGCCAATGGAGAAGAGAATTGAGGCTAATCGTGAGACTAGTTTGAAGTCTGGGCTGTTGGTCTTTAGACCAGATAGAGGAGGGAAACATCAGGCGGCTTACAGCTGAAGGACTAGAGATCGGTATGGTCCACTAGTAGACAGACAAGAAGTAGGGCTTTGGAGTGTACTATCTCACAGCGGAGCAGTCATCAGGAAAAAAGACGTCTTATTGTACTGGGAAAATCTGCAAGACCTTAGTGTTAAAAGGAAAGATGTCACTTTGAAAATGAAGGTGCGCCTGAGTCAAGCCATGGTATTTTCAGTTGCCTCATATGCTTGTGAAAGTGGGACCGTGAATAAGGAAGACCAAAGGAGAGCGGATGCTTTTGAGTTGTGTTGAAGAATACAGAAAGCACCACTGACTGCCAGAAGAACTAACAAATCTGTCTAGGAAGAAGTGCAGCCGAATGCGCCTTTGAAGCAACGATGACCAGACTTTGTCTCAACTGCTTTGGTCGTGTTGTCAGAAGGGACCATTCCCTGGAGAAGGACATCATGCTTGGTAAAGTGGAGGGTCAGTGAAGGAGGGGAAGGCCCTCAACGAGATGGACTGACACAGTGGCTGCACTGATGGGCTCGGGCACAGCCAGGTTGGGAGGCTGCTGCAGGAGCAGGCAGTGTTTTGTTCTGTTGTACGTGGAGTTGCTGTGAGTCAGAGCTCACTCAGTAGCACCTAACAACCACAGCAACAACTTCATGGGCGAGCAGTTCCTGGAGATGCCAAAACCTGGGCCACGAACATGGCAGTGGACTGCTGGAGTGGGGTGAAGATGAAGGTCACTGGAGATAAGGAGTTCTTCATGACCTTGGAAGTCTTCAAGATTATGATAGTTTGGGGCTGAAGGGAAGGTGTTTTTATGTAGTTTGAAAGTAGCAGCGGAGGGAAAAAGAGCTCTGCTTTGTGGCACCTGGGTGTGATTCAGAGGTATGGGAAAGAGCATTTGAAAGAACCTCAGGAAAGGCAGGTTGCGTTTATATTTTATCTGTAAGGAGTGCAAAGTTCCTATGTGAAGAATTTCATCAAGCAGTTACCTCCCTAGGGATGCACCAGGCACTTGCTCGGCACTGGGGTTAGATCTGTGAACCAGGCATTGGGTAGTCGGAATAGGGAAATGGGCCTGGGCCCTGCTCTGGCTTTCCAGCCTCCGAGGGAGAGGGGTTAATTGCGTATACCTGCTGCAGCTTCTCAGCCTCAGGGGGCCCCAGCTTCAAGCTTCACACAGTTCCAAGCACAAGAGGACCAATCAGAAGAGGACAAAAAAGCTGAAATTACAAAAAGGACTTTCCTAGGTTATTTGCCCAGCTGGGCATGCAGTCTGCACAAAATGATCTCAGAGTAACCTAGATTCTCATTAGCATGCAATTATGACCTGCAGTGTGGTTTGGACCTAACACAGGTAGGCGTGGCTCTGGCCCTCACCTACCTCACAGGCCACCAGAGACAGCAGCACAGCTGGAAGCTTGGTAGACATGTAAGTTCCCACTCCAGCTCGACTGGGTCAGAACTTGCAGTGTCGCAAATCCCCAAGGGGTTGGACAGGGAGATCAAGTTCAGAGAGACCCTGCCCCTTCTGGTTATATTTGATGGGGTGGCCCACTCCATCTCGAGCAATCAGTGGTCTTTTCCCAGGTACTTGAAACTGGTAAGGACGGAGCGATCCAACCTATGTGGTTGGAAGGTTTGACACCTGAGGTTTGTTTAGCTAGGTGGCCATATTCCAGACAGCAGAGAGAACTGGGCGGGAGAGGGGAGAGGACATGATGCAGACACTGGGAGAAAAGCGGAAATGGAGAGAAAACGCCGCCGCGGTGAGAGCCTGGTAGCTTTCCTGTCCCCATCGTGTATCCGTAATAAATACCCGTTTGGTTTAAGCTGGTATGATTTGGTTCTAATTATTCGGAACCAGAGCTCCACAGCAGGTAAGGGTGAGCTCAGAAGGCTGAGGCCAGGAGAGGAGGTCTTGCGTTGGAGGTGTACCTGCTGAGACGCCTGTGGACGGATGGAAGGGGCCCGGCTGGAGAGCAGACGTGGGTCGCTTCCCCCGCTCACCGCCCACACCGGACACGGGGCGCTGTTTACCATCCCTCACATCATCCCGCTCAATCCCACCAACGTCCAAGCAGGGCTGGTGTTGAACCGCTTACAGTGGAGGCGGCCGAATTCCACGGGCCAAGGAACCTGGCTAAGGCTGCTGTTGGTGCCGGGCAGTCAGAAACTGGCCTAACCTCTCCCCGCGCCCCCACCCTCCATATAGATCCCGCGTGGCCAGGGCAAAGCAAGCTCCACCCGCTCCACAGTGATTATGCGGCGCAACTCAGCCATCCTCCAGGGAGTGGTGCTGCTAAAATACAGATCGCTCGGGCCCTGCCCAAGTGTGCAGGAGCAAGGACCTGCGGCTGGAACCCGGGGCTCCGAATGCTCCAAGCTGCTCAGCCAGCTAGGACCTGCTTCAGGGCGGCCTCCTGCCGCTCGCCCATCGGCCAGAGCAGGAGGGGAACAGAGTCCCTGCAAGCGGACTCAGTTCGCCGGGAGACGGCTTCCGGCATGGGCGGGGCCTGACGAGGCGGAGCAAACGGGGCGGGGCGGAGCCGGAAGATGGGGCGGGGCGGCGCGCGGGGTGGTGCCGGAAGATGGGGCGGGGCGGGGCGGTGCCGGAAGAGGGGGCGGGGCTGGTCGGGGCGCGACCCGGAAGTCGTTCTTGGGTTTCGCCCCTCGCGCGGGCAAGGCAGGTTCGGACCGGCCTGGGAGCTACGGTCGTCCATCTCGCCTCCTCGCCCTCCCCGCCGACATCATGCTCCAGTTCCTGGTGAGTGGGAGCTGTGGAGGAGCGAGGCGGGAGTTCGGCGTAGTGCCCTCAGTCCTGGGAGGCGCGCGTCGCCTTAGGCCTCCCCCACCCTCGCGGCTCAACCCCGCGCGGGCTGGGCTCTGAGGCTTTGTTTCTGCCTCGCCGCGAATCCCTTTGTCAGTATTTTCCTGCGGCCATTCAAGCCCCTAAAACTTGGAGGCGTCCGCGCGTGCACCGTTAAAGCCCTCTGCTCTGTCGTGCGCGCGTGCATCGTCGTTTTCCCCAGAGGAGGTCGGGTTAAAGCCTTGATCCTTAGTGGCCTCCGGTGGTCGCGCCCGCCCGCGGTCCGGGACGTAGACACGTGCTTATCGCTGACTCAGAGCTGCTGGTGGACCTTTTTGGGAACAGAGAAGGGCAGGACTAACCCTTAAATTAGCTGCTTCGCGAGGCGCCTAAACACGAGGTCAGAGTTATAATAGGCTCGGGGAGGCCTCGTCAGACCTTTTAATAGTTTCCAGGCTAGTTGCTGGAAGGAGTGCCACCGCTTTACAAGTTTTTCCACAAGCTGCTTTTGGGGAAATGGAAATGACTGTTGCCGTGAGTAAGCAAATGATTTCTCATGGCTTGTTATTCGGGTTAAAAACTGGTTTTCTGGCCAAACTGAGTATCCCTTAGATTGCCTAGTGAAGGTTCCAGGAGGGTTTGCCCGCCAAATTCCCCAGTGAGAGCCGGTCTCCCAGGCTTCTGGGTGATCAGAACTTGATGGTTTCTTCAGTCTCTCGTTCTGTGAGGAGGCACAAGGTCGGGATCTTTCAGGAGGTCCCCGGAAGTCTGGAAGGAAAAGCAGCCATCTGTCCATTGAAGGGATGGACGTTTCTCCGGTGGCCTGATAGGTGTCAGCTTAACAGAAACACAGGTAGTCCCTGTTCTGACGTCTCCATCTAAGTCGGTTCTGACGTAAGTCGAGTACCTCATTTTTAGTTTTTGTTATCAGTGTCTTTATAAATCATACCACTCAACATCTGTGAGCGAACATTCAAACATGTTAACATCAGCACATTACATGCTGCAACACTGTGTGTAGTACGCATTACTAAGATGAGATGTACCCCCCCAAAAAAGACTTGAAAATGTGTCTGTGGTAACTCATACGTTGTAAGTCAGTGACTACCTGTAATTACTGTGATAAACTTACAGGAAACAAAAACTAAAAAAAAAAAACTCAAACAGTTCATCTCACACTCAGATGAGAAGCAGCACTGGTTAGCCCCCTAGAGTACGATGATCTAGCTGTAACTCACTGATGATGGGGAGCCCATCGATTCAATTACATGCAACTTCAAAGTGCCTTTCCAGAGTGAGTTTGGTTTGGGGATGAACTTTTGCTGCATCATAAACATGGACGTGACTGAGGTGAGAGTTTGGAATTGTCAGCACTTAAGGAGAGATGTTGGAGCCGTTCCTGAAACACCTGGCTCTGTCCCTGAGCTCTGATGTTCCCACGCCCTCTGTCCACCTGCCTCCTCATTGCTTTAGTTGAACAGAGTGGGGTGGCAGTACTTTATACATCGATTCCAGCTCTGCCAAGTGGCTCACCGCATGAACATGCGCGAGTCTGTCTTGGTGGTCAGTCATTTCATCTGCAGAGCAGGGGGGACGGAGCAGATGATGCTGATGGTGTCCTCTGGCTGTTAGGCTGTGATCAGCCACCCTGTCATGGTGCTTAAGAGGTAGGACTCCACAGTCACTCCTGGCTTGAACTTGGTCGTTCGCTTGGATTGGTTACTCTTGCAGCTGAAAATGGGGACCTGCCTCACAGTCTTGTCTGAGAATTAGCAATGAGTCAACACATAAAGTACCCAAAACAGTGGCACCTGAGGCCTCAGGCGTATTGAGGCTTCTCTGCAGGTGTCAGGTGGGCTGCTTGAGTTTCTTCCCAGGCCAGGGAATTAGGGTACCTCAGAGGGGTGGGTGACGGGAAAGGCTGGGAAGTGACGAGCCAGTCAGCATGTACACTGTCATCACACACTTCAAAACCCTCTGAGGAGCTTTGGGGGCCACATGGTTAAGCGCTCACCTGTTAACCAGAAGGTCGGTACTTTGAACCCACTGGCCACCCTGAAGGAGAAAGATGAGGCTCTGTGCTTCCTTAAAGATTTACAGCCTTGGAAGCCCTGTGGGGGCAGTTCTCTGCTACAGGGTCACTGTGAGTCAGAGTCGAGTCCATGGCAACAGGGTTGGGTGGTGAGGGGTTCCCTGCAGTTGCCATTCCTTCCGTGGAACACCATTTGAAAACCACTGCCCTTGACTGTTGCTTGTAGAGTCTGTCTTCCTGGATTAAAATACTCACCCATATCCCTATCTTGAAATCCTGTCATTTCCTAATCGTAGTGACCCTACAGGATGCAGTAGGCTTTCCTTCACTCCGTAGGGTTTCTACAGCTGCAATTCTGACAAAGCAGACTACCACATCTTTCTCCTGTGGAACCACTGGTGGGTTTCGGCTGCCAACCTTTTAGTTGACAGCTGAGTGCTTTAACCACTGTGGTTTAGCTCCAAACATTTTAAGAAGACTTGTGAAGCCTTTAAAGGGAAGCCTACTGTGTCTGGCAGGCCCTGCTGTAACTGTGACTCTTTTTATTCCCTTCTTCCTTGAAGTCTGTAGCATTTGATATTCTTATCCACCTCCTCTTTAATCCCATACTTCCCAACACTCTTCCACACTACACCTCCCAGAGAATTCTTCTTCAGCCTGCCCAGAGTGAAGGTGACCGGCTCCGGGTACTAGCTGCCTGGAGCCTGTGGGATAGTATCTTGGTGCACCAGTCAGGTAGCTGCCTTACCTTATTGCCCCTGTCTTCACTGGCATTGTGTCCTCTTGGCTATTGGGTGTTTCTGAGGTCCTTGATTCTGCACTCCTCTGTCTAGATCCATCCTTGTCATGCCATTGTCTTTCACCTCTGCTGACAACTTCCTTTCCAGGTCCCTGCTGTCTGCCTGCTGCACAGGACTTGTCCAACTCTCTCTCTCAGACCCCATTACCCCTTCCCTTTCCCTTCCTCCACCTAACTGCTTTCTCTGTTCCGCTGCCCTGGTCTCTCAGGATTGAAATGTTGATATAATCTTTGATTCATTTCTCCCCTTCATTCTCCACATCATTTACCTGCTGTGCAAACCTTGACAAGTTACCTAACTGCTCCTGGCCTGAGTTTCCTTAACATAAACTGGGCAGTAATAGTACCTGTCTTAGGTCATGACGAGCACGAATGAGTTTGTGGCACTTGGAAGCACTCAGTAAACATGAGCCATGGCTGTAAGCCACCAAGTCTTCGTTACTCCCCTAGTGAAACGTTTATCTTTCTCTTCCTGCTGCCAACTTCATGAGCAGCTTCTTTGCCACCCTTGGACCAGCTATACTGGCTTCAAAACCCACTGCCATTGAGTCAATTCTGACTCATGGTGACCCGAGAAGACAGAGCAGAGCTGCCCTGTGTGGTTTTCAAAACTGTAACCTTTACCGAAGCCAACTGCCACATCTTTCTCCTGCAGGATGGCTGGTGGGTGCAAAGCCCTGACCTTACTATTAGCAGTTGAGTGCTTAACCAGTGTGCCACCAGCTGGTGCAAACTGTAGATTTACACTTGGAAGGCTTGTTACAGGTTCTCTAGTCCAGCTAACATGCTGCTACTTAAGTCTCCACTACCAACGAGGGGTAAGCAGTATGTGTGTGGTCACCTCCGGTTAGAGCAGGTCACTCTCGGCTCAGGCCGTCTCTCTCGTTTCTGGTTAGTGTCTCCTTACCTTGTTCTTCTTGGGGTTAAAGAGCAGTTCTAATCACACTATGGCCAGCCCTTTAGATATATGAAGAGCTTTCTCTTGGTACCTTCTACCCATATTTTCCTTAGGCTAAACATCTCTACTTCTTCCATCTGTTCTTTATAATCTTAGGTTCATGCTACTTGCGCTTCTCGGAATATCTGAATCCTTTTAGAACATGGCGTTCCATATGTGGCTTGAGCAGCTGTTGCCTCTGGTTCTGTATTGTCTGCACCTGCTAGATGAGTCATCATTGATTGCCTTACTCACACGATCAAAGAAATTGCCCTCCCACCTCACATCTTAACCACTTTGACTTCCCCCAGTTTGCTAATGTGGTCCCATTTCTTCCCACTGGCCTTCAACACATACCCTCTGACTTTGGCTGCATTCACACCTTCCCCACAGTAGCCCTTTTGTCCTCCCAGCTGCTCGTCATGGCCCTGCTCAGGTCCCTTCTTCCAGGAGGCTTCCTGATGACTCAGGCTTCACTCTTCAGTCTTCACACTCGTATGTCTTCTCACTGTTGGAACCCATCCTGCCATTCATCTTGTATCTTCACAGCCTTCCTCAGTGCCTTACTGTCTTCTCAGCGATGGTCAGGCACATTGTTTCTTACGTTTATTTCTACCTGCTTTTTGGTTTTTGTTGCTGTTGGTGAATGGCATCCTTTTTAAAACTACATTTTCAAATTAGTTGTTGCTGGTGTGTAGAAATGCCAGTAAGTGCACACGGCTGTGGCGCCCAGCGGTCTGGGGTTCCCTGTGCCGGTACCTGGTCTGGAGATACGCTCGGGAGGGGGCCTGTGAAGGCGGTACCGTACAGCCTGCCCTGTCTCCAGAAGTGACCAGGTTGGGTCCTCTTCTAGTTTGCATTCCTCTATTTTCCCTTTTCCTTTATTTTGTAAACTGCACCTTCCAGGGCAGTGCTGAGTAGAAGCGCGGTGCATGTGGACTTCTGAGATTTATTTCTGGTTTTAATGGAAGTGCTTCTCAAGTTTTAGTCAGTTGTTGTGTTTATGATATTTTGTAACACATTAAGGAAACTCCCTTATATTTTTCGTTTACTTTGAATATTCCTGTGCTGTTTCCTCATCTGATGGTTGTATGATTTTTCTCCTTTAGTGCACAGCTGTGGATCGCATCAGCAGTTGAACTGTCTGGTCCCCTCACAGCACCTGCATGGATCCCACCCTTGACTTCTTGGAATCACTCATAGATTCTAGGGAAAGAAGTACCGTCCTGGTCCTTGCGTGTGCCCAGCACAGGGCTCAGCTTTGTGGGCCTGCTGGGTTGTGGTCAGTGCTTTGTGGCTGATTTCATCTGTTTATTAGATGTTTTCCTTTTGTCTGCTCACCACTCCCAGATATGCTTAAGGTGGACATTGAATCTGAATCTGAGGACAGGCAGCCAGCTGGCCCTGAGGATGCCTTTTCCAGAGGGCTGGCTACAGGCTTTGCTGTGAATGGCCCTGTTCAGTTGACTGGCTCAATTAAAGAACTGACAGGTTTTTTTCTTTTTCTATCTCGTTTCCCTTTCTTCATTCTCTCAGGGAAGTCATTGAACATAAACCCTAGCCTGTTAAAAATGTTCTTCCCTGTGGTGACAGTACAAGGGATGTCCGCTACATCGTCAGCAGGTTTTCATGTTGTTGTTGTTGTTGTTATGTGCCGTTGAGTCAGACCTGACTCATAATGACCCCTCCTTGGGTTTCCGAGGCAGTATCACTATGGAAGTGGATTGCCCAACCTTCCTTCATGTTACTGTATAGAATTTTACTACTGCTCGAAGGAGTTGTGAAATACAGTTGAGGATAACGTTCTCCCCACCAGGTCTTCAAGTGTTTACTAAATCCACTTGCTGTCGAATCTGTCCCAATCCATGACACCTCTCTGTGTGTCAGACTACAAGAGCTCGGCTCCATGGAGTTTCCAGCAGCCGTTTTTTGACAGGCTGATCACCAGGTCTTGCTTTCGAGGTGGCTCTGGGTAGACTTGAACCGCCAGCCTTCTGGTTAGCAGCCAAGCATGTTCCCAGTTCCCACCATCCAGGGACCAAGAAAGACTAAGGCACAAAACAAGGCAATTTTTTTTTTCCCCTGTCTTCTTTGAATGGACTGCTTTTCTAGCTGAAAATGAGAAGTCAGGTATAAGATTATATTTTGTTCGTGTTAGATGGTGCATGGTTTTGGCTTCCTTGTCAGTGTGTAGCTATTTACCCCTCAGACCAGAAATCATTTTTAGGTATTGTTCTGAATGCCGTTTATTGCTATACTTGGAAAATAAAATGAGATTATTTTTAGATACATTAAACCCTTGACGGTGAAGAAAGAGCTCTATTGGCATAGTGCCTAAGGCATCTGACTGCTAACCAGAAGGTTGGTGGTTCAAACCCACCAGCCACTCCACAGAAGGAAGACTGGGTAGTCTACTTCTGTGAGATTGATCACCTTGAAAGCCCACTGGGGGTCACTATGTGTTGGAATTGACTTGATGGAAGTGGTTTTGGTTTTGACAGTAAGTATAACACTGAGATTCTGGGTCATGACTTGGGTTTGGGTGTGTAATTTTAAAAAATGGGATTTTATGAGTCATTGAGACTTGCCAGGTCACGTGCACTTTGGGTTACTTCCAGGCTCTGTCCCCAGATAAAAATTGGAGCTTTCTTTGCTAATCCACACGCATAACAGCTTCTTGATTGGGGGAGGGAGGGTTTGAGAGTAGATTATCAGAGGCGTCAGTTACCTGGGGTTGGCTGGCTTTTTCTGTTTTAAGACTTAGAACTTATTTATTTATTTAAGACATAGGGCCTTTTTATTAAATAGGTAAAATGTTGTGAGTATCCTGCTCACGTGTTCATTCGTAAAAAAGAGTCAGCTGACAGTTGGCATTTTCCGTGCAGATCTCTCGTACAAAGCCACTTGTTTAACGGAGCGCCGTCGCTCCTGGCTGTAGCTCTCCCTGCTCTTTTGAGACTTCTCTGCCATGGGGAACTTGAGGTGGTCTTTGTTTCCAGCCGTACCCCGCAGAGCTGACATTTTACCAGCCCTTCCTGATTTCTTGATAGCTGCTCTGTTGTTGCTGATGTCGAGTGCTGCCCAGTCAGTTCCGACCCGTGGCAGCCCGGTGCGCAACAGAGCAACCACCGCCGCGTCCTGCCCCAGCCTCACAGTCACTGCTGTGCTGCAGCCCCGCGTCGCAGGCAGCCGCTGTGTCAGTCCATCTCTGTGAGGGTCTTCCCCTTTTTCTCTGACCCTCTGCTTTACCAAGCGCGATGTCTTTCTCCAGGGACTGGTCCCTCCTGAGCCCATGTCCAGAGTGTGAGAAGTGAAATCTCACCACCCTCACTTCTAAGGAGCGTCCAGCTGTACTTCTTCCAAGACAGATTTGTTCGTTTTCCTGACAGCCCATGGTACATTCAGTATTCTTTGCCAGCACCATAATTCAAAGGCATCACTTCTTCTTTGGTCTTCCTCATTCATTGTCCAGCTCTTCCATGGATATGAGACAATTGAAAATACCATGGCTTGGGTCAGGCACATCTTAGTCTCAAAGTGACATCTTTGCTCTTCAGCACTTTAAAGAGATCTTTTGCAGCAGATTTGCCTGATGCAGTAACAGCTTTCTTGAGAATTCACATACCATGTCACTCATCCGTGTAGAATGTCCAGTGAAACGATTTTTAGCACGTGCACAGAGCTGAGCGGCCATCACCACTGTCTAATTTGAGAACACGTTCACAGCCCCCCAAAGAGAGCCCACATCCATTACCATTCACTCCTTACTCCCCTGGGCAATCAGGAATCTATGTTCTGTGTCTGTAGGTTTGCGTCTTCTAGACAGTCATGTCAGTGGAATCGTGGCCTTTTGTGACAGGCTTCTTCCACTTAGCATAATGTTTTCCAGGTTCCTCCATGTTGTGTTATGAATCAGTATTTAATTCTTTTTCTTTGTAGCTGTGCCACGTTTATTTTGAAACACAAGACGTAGGAACTAGGAACACTGTTAGTGTAATGCTTTATAAATCAGGGAGCTCAAGTCAGTGACGCTCCAGAGAAGCTAAGTGTCTTTTCTGACGGCACACAGCTCCTTGGGAGAACCAGAACGCTAGTTGATTTCTCTTGACTCTTTTCCAATCCTGTGTTCTTTCTGCCGAGTGTTAGAGCTCATGGTCTCAGCTCAGTTTCTCTCTAAAGTGAGTTTACTCGTCTTTCTGGATTTGGAAAACCTGCTGTGTCTGCCTGGTTTCTACCCACAGGAGTGGAGATCATTCTGCTTCTTGGTAAAACACTACCCTGCAAGATGGGTTTGATAAGTGATCAGAAAATGGTCTATGATTAGAGAGTAGGTGGCACCTTTCCCATTTCCTGCTTCCTGCCAGTCAGCTCGTCTAAACCGTGGTTGGATGGAGGCTTGGGGAGCTGAGGAGGGACTGCTGTGTCCCATCCCATCTTCATCTCCATCTCGAAGGCGAGACGACCACAGCCAGCGGGGCCAGTGCTCTCACCACCAGCCTGTGTTGTCCTGTAACCTCTTACTAAGTCAAATGATGGGAAAACATCTGATACTTGGAGTTTATGGAGCCGGGTCCCTGTTGGAGGTTCTTAGTTGCTGGGAGAATGGCAGGGAATTCCAGATCGGCCTTCCGACGCCAAGCCGGGGGCCTTCGGCTCCTCTGCTCTGTAGGGATTGCTTTACAGTTTCATGAACCAGTTTTTGTTCAGCAAAAGAGCCCCCCAGTGGGGTAACCATTTAATCATTCTCTGACAGTCGTGCCTGTCTCTCGTCACCGTGTCAAGGCCATGTTCCCTACAGGTGTTGAGTGTCCTTCCCAGTACATGCCACACAAAGCAGAGTGATAGTCGGTTGGCCACCCTATCCGTCACCCATGTTTTAGCTGTGGGTGGGTGTCTTGATGTTGACCCAAACAAGTCACTTCACCAACTTGGGGCTCAGGTTCTCCTCTGGAAATACGGAGAGACCCAGCTGTGCAAGCCCTCGCTCTCTGAGGCCCTAGGATTTAACTGAGTACTTCTGACGTGGAGAAGACTAATGACACCGGCGCTAGCCCATGACCAAAAATGAAAGACCAGTCGCAGCTTACAGTAACAGGCTCAGAACGCTGGGTGGGTGGAGCTCGCCGTCGGGCTGCAGAGCTGTGAGAGGACAGTCCGGGGGCAGTGCTCAGTGCTGCCACCTCACTGTTGCTTTCCTGCCCTTTAATGACTTCTAGGAGAGATTTCTGCACCTGTGTTCTAGAAGAGAAATGACCCTCCCATTCTGTGGAGCCCTAGACTGGCCGCCGAGGGCCTCTGGCTGCTCTGAGCTCGTTAGGAGGGTGCTGTGTGTAGTTTGGGTTCGGACGGGCACAGGAGTCAGTCTCCACGGTAACTCCTCCTCTTCTGTTGTTTCAGCTTGGATTTACTTTGGGCAACATCGTTGGAATGTATCTGGCTCAGAACTATGACGTAAGTGGCCCTGTCCATGTCCTTCTTGATCCCACGTAACAGTTTCATGGTACTTGTCCTTGTTGAGGTAAGGCGTGCCTTCCAGCACGAACAGAGTCCATGGGTCTGATGGAAAAGTCCTGACTTTGCAGAACAGTTTTCTGTTTGAAATATGTATGTAACTCCACAGAGCCCTCTGTCCTCCCTGTCACCACAAGAGGGCAAAATCTCACCACGTTAGAGGGTCCCAGGAAGACCCTAAGTTGGGTTTGTTCCTCCAGAGCAGTACTAACAGAGACTCTGAAAGTTGTTTGGAAAATCATGTGAGGAGTGAGAAATGCACTGGAGATCGTTATAGTCCCCCTGCCCAGCAGTCAAGATCGCAGAGAATTTTGGAGATGGATCTAGATAGTGCAGCATGGGTAGGGAGGACAGAGTCCCGTGAAGTGGGGCTGCGTCGGCCTCGCTTTATAGACAGGGAAGTGGAGACCAGGTGACACACTGCCTGAGAACAAGGGACAAGGAAGTGACACAGATTAACGTATGATCTGTTTGTGGAGAAGCCTTTACTGTGACAAAGAGAAGTCTCTGTGTCAGCTTTCACCTGACTCAGATAGCTTTTCTAGGCAGGGTTATATTAATCTATATCACACGTCATTCAGATGTACAGCTTTCAGTTGACACTGGGTTGGTGGTAAGTGGGACATAAAAGCAGAAGTCAGGGTCTGCACTTAGGGAGGGGCAGATGGACATACGGCCTCCACTATCCTTGTGAGGCAGTTACAAGGCTGTGTCACAAAGATAAACGGGTCATTTATAAGCCCATTTATCTTTGGAGGCAGGTGAGTTGAAGGATACAGGGAGGCCCTGACTTAGGACGCATTGAGTTATGACAGACTGCACGATCATCTGGTTTTTGTTGTGCTTTTGTGCATCTTATTGTTAGTAGTCTGTGCTGCCTCCAGTGGCAGTGTATCATTCACTGACGCCATCATTTGCAGATGTTCACACACAGGTGTTCAGTGTTACGATTTACCGTTCAAAACACTGTCATGTAGCAGGCTGTGGCCAGTCTGCAGTGAAGTCGGTGACAGGATTTGTAATGGGTGGAGAGTTGGGCAGCGTTCAACTCTAAGGACATACGACGACTGAACTGCACACGTGCCCAGCAGCCATCAAGACTCTGCCTTCATGGTTACGACACTGATGCTGACAAGTAAAGATTGGATTTAAAAACATACTGGTAACATAAGGCGATGAGAAATGTTTTTCAAAAAAGAAGTATTCACACATCAGTTGTCAGAACAGAAACTCATTGTGAATCAGAGACTGCTTGTATTAGGTAGATGGCAAAATTATTATAATCTCTTTTCTTTTTAAAGATACCAAACTTGGCCAAAAAGCTTGAAGATATTAAGAAGGACTTGGATGCCAAGAAGAAGCCACCTAGCTCATGAGGTGGCCCTGGCTGCTGGTGGACACACAGATCGGACCACCCTTGAGGACCTCCTCACTTTCCAACCAAAGGCCCCGGTTTTCATCGCAGCCTCCGTGAGGCTCTTTGCTAGACCCTGAGTTGCCTTCGAGCAAAAGCGGGGCTCCCCGTACCTTCCCCACATCCTCACTTCTCCTCACCCTCCTTCCAGCTGCTTGGGAAAGACTGCATTATGGTGCTAGATTAGTAAACCTGACCTTCAGTTAGAGTTCCCTTCTTGTTCTTTGGCATTTCTGCTGCCTTTTTTCAAAAGAAAACTTGATGAGTTTTGTATAGCCGATCAGATGCAGGTAATGCTAATTTCACAGCTACAGCAGTTGTAATAGGTGCTTGGTAACCATTTGGTGATAACTAACGTTTGTTTCAAAGTAATTAAAATGAATGCCTGGAAGCCAGTTTCTAGTGAATGACCCATTTATTGTGTACTGTGGTTAGGCAGCTCCGTAGTTGCTCATCTAGCCAGTAAATCCTCGTATAGTCACTAACCGAGAAACTGTATTCTGAGTCCTCGTCCTCAGAGGAATCCTGGTCTATTCAGTGCGCGTGTGTTTGGCATTGAGGCTTTGGATCCAGCTCTTCGCCCTCAGAACTGTGCTTGCTGTCAGGGTCACAGGTGCACTGGACATTATCTGATGAGCAAATGAGAGTTTGTCTGTAAAGGAAATTTTAGGCCTTTCTGTGTTTTAAATAAATACATTTACATTATAATGTTAGAGTGAATCGCATAAGAAAAATATGGCCCAAATGTCTAATCAGATCAGTACCTCAAGAGAAGAGAGCTCCACTTCTCTCTGCAGTTTATGTTTGTGGTTTCCCTGCATCAGGGATGACCCTTGCAATTTGTCAAGTGTATAATCGCTCTTAAGTAAATACAAAAAAATGTTTGCGTAGGTAACTTTTTCCCAGAGTTGAGATACCAAAGTGATTTAGTGAAAAGGGCCTGTCCCGCCCCGCCCTCAGCATCTCATTTCTCTCCTCAGAGACTATCACCAGTTTCCTGTATGTTCTAGAAAGGTTCTGTGCATAAACGGATACACGTATGTGTGCATGAGTGGTTTTGCAAATGTGGCAACAATATGTTGACGTCTCCCCATTCCTTGCCTCTCCTCATGGCGCCACATCCATATTATGTAAGGAACGTGGGCCTTCGTCTTTTCTTAGGGCATAAAATTCTGTGGGGTGGATATACTGTAATGTAAATCACCTCATGATGAACACTTAGGCTTCTCCCCGTCTTGCTATTAGGTGATAACCTTGAAACTGATGTCATTGTGCAGATCTGTGCAGGTCACATGTGTGTAGGTCCTGGATGTGCGGTCGCAGAGGGAGCTTCCCTTTCATTGGGTGTTGTGTTTCCGGGGGCCTGTGGGCAGCTTTAGTAATGCCTTTTCTGAAGACTCTTAGCAGAACTGGCAAGCTGGAAGAATTACGTAGAGACCCTTTTGTGACAGTGATGTCATTGATACTGTCTGTGATTATCCAGTGAAGTGACTGCTTCCTTTCAGTGACCTGTCCGCCAGGTCTCATGCAGGGAGAGCAGCCTTGCCCCTGACCAGGTGGTCCTCGTGTGAGACAGACAGGCTCAGACTGTGGTCTGGCTGCTCCCTGGCAGCGTGTCACGGGCAGTCGGGTCGTTCACTGTGATGTCACGGATATCATACCTATGTCACGGGGTGTTCATGAGAAAGACCCAGGATGATGTGTGCACTGTGGTGCTCAGTGCTTTGCATGGTGTCTTAAATGGCAGATGTCTGTGCACACAGGCTGCTTCTGGTCAGAATATAGGTCTGCAACTGCTTTTGGAACCAGCGTATGAACCCATGTAAAATAAAGGGGAGTGACACCTGACCTGCTGATTGATTGGTTCCCTGGAAGGGTAGGGGCTGCCCAAGAAGTCAGTCCTCATGTTCGCCTTCCCCATGTACAGTACCATGTGGTGAACATGATCCGAGCGAGTGTTCCCGTTCAGAGACCCTCCTGGTCTCAGCTAGTGCGGCTGTAATAGAATTGCCACAAATGCGTGGCTTTAATGGAAATTTATTTTCTCGTGGTTTAGGAGGCTAGAAGTACAAATTGAGGGTGCCAGCTCTAGGGGAAGGCTTTCTGTGTCTCTCAGCTCTGGGGAAAGGTCCTTGTCTCTTCTGAGATTCTGCCCCTGGGCTATCTTCACGGGGCTTGGCGTCTCTCTTCCTCATCTCGGCTTGCTTAATCTCCTTTTATATCTCGGACTGACTCAAGACCTGCCCACACTAATACTGCTTCATGAACTTAACAAGGAAAGCCCATTCCCAAATGGAGTTATACCCATAAGTATCCCTAGCCTCACTGCTATTGAGTTGAATCCACATCTTACATAATATAGTAACTGTACAGGACAGGGTAGAGCTGGCCCACACGGTCTCCACGGCTGTAGGTCTTTTACAAAAGCCACATTTCCCACAGTGGCGAGACTGCTGACCTTTGGGTTAGCAGCTGAGCACTTAAACACCGTGCCACCAGAGCTTCTCCAGCTATAGGTATGAAAACCAAACCTACTGCCATTGAGTTGATGCCAAGTCAGCAACCCCATAGATAACAGGGGTTAGGATTCACAGCACCTATCGGGGGGGAACACAGTCTGTGTCAGGGAAAGGGCTGGGGGTTCAGAGCAAGGTGCTCCCTGAGACCTGAGAGGAGCCCAGATCTGTCCTGGTGTGGGATGGATTTGAGAGTGCAATGATGGGCATGGGGCGGCAGAGGCTGTGACCATGGCCATGCCGCTCTTCCATCCCTGGGTGTTGTGTGGGGCCCTTGCCTCACAGACAGTGAGGATGGAAAGGAACGTTGCAAGAGATCTACCCCCTTTTTTCCCTTTAAGGAACGTTTGAGCAAACACCTGTTGATGGGATTTAAGAAAATGTTTTCTACACCTGACTGGAAGAGGAGGGTTGGTTAAACAAATGGCTACGGAGAGCTTCTCCGAGGTAAAAAGTGAGACTTGAGGATGACACTGGGACCGTAAATACGGTTGGCCCTTGGACGGCATGGGTTGAACTGTGCGGGTCCACTTATAAGTGGATTTTTTCCCCAAGATCTGGATCTCGGAGAAGTTCAAGAGCTAACAGACACCA